AAGTAGTCAGGCTCAAAGCCCCAAGGAGACTTGCCGAAATACTTCTCTGGCCATGGCCTACCAATGCACAGTGCCAGTGTGCCCTGCTTGCCCGCTTCCAAGTACATCTCCTTGGGGGTTGTGCCCTTTTCATCCCAGTCGTGCACGTTGCTCATGATGTGCTCATCCACATACTCACGCATCAGTTTCCGGAACTGCTTGTGGGTGTCGTTGTAGTATGGCGTGTTGTACGCCTGGTACCATGACGGATCTCCAAATGGGTGCCCCTCACCATACACCTCCGTGTTCATGCCCTTCAGCATCGCTGGGCTCACCATGGTTCTCAAGAAATCCCAACCAAAACTCGAAACTGCGAGGCTTTGAGGCGAAATGCTGGGAATATTAGGCCATCATGCTATCATGCTATCTCGACTAGACTTTTGAGTGACGAGGCTCAATCTGTAGTCTGTTGCTCTTTGTGGCACTTCCCAGCTGGAACTGACAGTCTTGTTTGCAGTAGTCTGCACACAAGCAGCAGCGAAAGACACATTTTCCATATCCTTCGCTGGATCTAGCTCAGGCAGTCGGGCCTGGAAGTCTGTCCAGGTTCAACTCCAAGGTCGAGACCATTCTCTGCACTTACAGCTCTTCAATAGAGAGGTTTTTCGCGCTCACTTCATCTCTCTGAGGGTGCCAAGTACGTCATGTCCAGTGCTCCTCAGGTCTCCAGATTGAACGACGGGCAAAGCCTCAACTACAACTAGGAGAACTCCCATGTCTTGACATGCAGGTGGGCAGCTGAATATCTCTTCTTCAGAGTGCGCAATCACCTTCACAAACAAAGTGATGGCAATTAACTTGGACACGTCTCTTGGACACACTCCTAGCTTGCCATGTGCACGAAAACATCGCCGCCACCGTTGGAAACAGCCGTGGGATGCTACTTACTGTGCTGCCACTGCCGTTAGTTCTAGCCTGAACTACCCTGCCAAAAGATGAGAACTTGCCCAAACACGAAGGTAGGGATGGCGGACAATGTAGCAAAACATTGCCAGGTTCCAGTTGGAGGCAACAGGGGTGGTGTGGGGGTGCGCGGCATGTTGCGCACCAGTTTGGCTTGCACGAAGATGCACGGATGTCACAACACCATTCACCAAAAAGCACAAATCACCGAAAGCCTTCCGGCCCGTGGTTTTGTTCTCAAGGCCGTACTCGCTCAGCGTGAGTCCCATTTCAATCGCTTTCCTCAGAAGATACTGGCCTACACTAGCAAAGAGTCAACAGGCGAGGCAAGCATGTTGTTTGTTTCGTGAGAAGAACTCTGCCACGCCAAAAGGAAGGGGTGGCCACATACACTGCAGAAGAAAACATGTGCAAACTCCCAGCGTTTAGACTGAAAGCTTGTTCTCACCAAACAAGGCTCAACCGCATCTTCACGGAGAGGGCCTCAGAGACACCAATCCCACGAGAAAACACAAGTCGGAGAGCCCCTCCCAACAGCTGAGATCTGGGCAGCGCTGCCAGTGAAGTACAACATGCCTCAAAGGACAGAAAGGCAATCTGCCAGTTTCGTCTACTTTGCCTGTTGTGTATGTGCGGCTCCTTTTCAATGAAGCAGGCTGACTGCATCAGGTGAGTATATACAATGTGAGTTTGAGGACATGTAGCCCCACGGCTCAGCTTTCTACTGATTGACATGCAAAAAGGCACACACGAAACTTGAACGTAGCATGGTGCAAGCTCCAACCATGCAATAATACATGGGGATGTAAGACATAGGAAACAACACCAAAGAATGCTTTGCCATGGTTTTGTTACGTTGCGCGCATTCGGTCAGATCCGCTGCCACAACTACCAACACCCACGTCTAGCGGCTAGCGAATACATCTGGCCCTTTTTTGACGGATGGTTGCTCCATGAGTCACAGTGCAAGGTTGCATCTGGCTCAAGCAGCAAGGCAGCTTGGGTGAAGCTGACCCTTGCTCTCTGAAGGTTAGGAAGATCCTAGTCCTAAGATTCCCTGCAATCTAAAGTAAAGTCCTGACACCTTTCAGTAAATGACCTGCATCTTCTGCCCATCTCGGTATTCGTACTTGGGATTCTTCTGCAGATGTTCATATCGCTCCAAGACTTTTTCTTGCCTCTCAACATCCTCGACGATCTTGTCCCAGTGCCCATAGTCAAAGGGTCCTTTCTTGCGGAGCGATGCATCAGGTGGCCAAGGTGTGTCGGCGGGTAATCCAAAGGCTTCAGGCCCCAAATCTTCAAACTTTGGTGTCGGCCTCCAGGGAATTCTAATCATGGAACAAGGCTGTCACACAAACACACGTGCGGAACACGTAACTGCAGAATGGTCTTTGCACATTCAACAAGGGTGATAACAATGACTGAGATCCAACGCGTAAGAAAAGCCAACTACCACCCCCGCCCATGCAATGCGTGTGCTACATCCATTTCAAAAGGACCTGAGGTTTTCGTAGAAGCTATTCCTCCAATTTCTCACTTGATTTGAACTGGCCTTCTGACTGCTGCATTGGCTTCTCTCGTGCGAGTGTTGTTCTCCTCCTCTTCATCCGCGCGCATCTCTCTTTCCAACGAGTCCCACTTGGAGTAGTCGAATGCCAACTGCTTTTTCTTGACCTCTTTCTTTGCTGGCTTCTTGATGTCATCTGCCTTGCCGTGGGGAAATCATAACTGGGTGCATTCCAGCAAGCTTGCTGGCTCAAACTATTGCGGCATGTCTTTGCTGCTGTACTGTACGATTAGTAAGGATTTTATTCTATTGAGTGCAGTAGTATCTAGAGCTTTACCAAGGAACGAATGCTGTTATATAGTCAAATGTGCGTGCCACATGCCTGCTTCGGCGCCAATGCATAAGCATGGATGAGAGCAGCACAGGTTTTGAAGCCCTTCCGCTCTGCCATAGTCTCTGCTGTCAGACCTGCACGATTAGCAAGATCCACTGGAGCAGCAGCTTCCAAGAGCGCTGTGCAAACATCTTCGTGGCCGCCGTGTGCAGCGTACATCAAAGCTGTGTTGCCCTCAGAGTTCACCAATTTGCAACTGGCTTTTAAGGCCAAAAGCGCCTCCACAACATCCAAGTCTCCTCGATGGGATGCAAAGTGCAAGGCACTGTTGCCCTGGCAGTTCTGAAAGTCAACGTGGGCACCTGCTTTCATCGCTTTACGCAGCAGCCGCACTTGAAGCCCCTGAGAGTCCTTCCACTTTCCCTTCACCTCACATCTCATAACATCTCCGGACTCTTAATGAGAAAATGTTTTCTCAACACCACATCACTAAACGTCATACTCACGTCTTAAGTAACTCCGGAAACTGAGCTAGGTGCGATGAGGATGATCGCAGTGTCACCCTTCTCATCCGTTAAATTCATGTCGGCTCCAGCTTCTATGGCCGCCTCGGCCGTTCGCACGTCCCTCTGAGCAAGAGCGGTCAGCAGTGAAATGCCGAACTTCTTGGGCCTCTCCTTGTTGTCAATGAGTACCTGATGCAAAGTCTGGATCCAAAGATTCAGAACAAGTGTTTTCAAAGCATGAGCACGCCAGCACTAAAAAATCAACTGACAAAACTGAAAGACAAAAAAAAAAAAAACAACAACAACAACAACACCAACACCAACACCAACAACAACAACAACAACAACAACAACACAAAGGCCACTCCTTCAGTTCTCGGCTTTTCTTGGCAGGATCTTCTGGAAGGGGCTGTCCTGCCATTTTCTCCCTCCAGTTCTTGAGCGGATTGTGCTCAGCCTCATCGGCTTCTGGAACCACCTGCTGCGGACGAATTTGGCAGGACCTAGGACCTCAAAACCAGCTGGAAAACATCCAACACTTTCCCATGATGACACATGTTCCTCGCCCAACTTGGTTTTCTTGAAAGAGCTTCTAGGATGGCCTTGACCATGTCTGAGGCTGCCCTTCCAAGCGAATCAGTTGCAGCTGCATCGGCACCCGCATCCAAAAGAACTTGGGCTGCTTCGTGATCACCCTAACAAGACACCGAAAGTGATCAAAAAGAAAGCGGACAGCCTAAAACCCAAGGTCATTGTGACGATTCCTGCCTGCTTTGCGGCCATCATCAGGGGTGTTTGGCCAAAGGAATCCCTGCAATCTGGGTCACCCCGGGCTTCTAGGACCATCCTGAGGAGTTCATGAGAGCTTTTGGCAATGCAATAGTGGGCCGCACAGCGCCCGGTGTCTGGGTGTGGGCAGCTGGCAGTCTGCTCATCCAACTTTGCAAACGCTTTCATCACATCGCCCTTCTCGATTGCGTTGCACAAATCTGCAGCTCTCATAGAGATGAGCTTGTTGGCCGTAGACCATTCAAACTCCTCGCGCCTCTTCCTCGCCTTCTCCAAAATGCAATCCAAATGGGTCACACCGTTCGAGAGAAGCTTCGAAGGCTTGGAGAGAAGAGTGGAGCTCGCCAAGCTGCCCCGACCCTGGAACCACTCCGGGTGTCCAATTGCATGCTCCTTTGGCGGTAGCCAATCTTTCGATGGACCTCCCAAGCCTGCAGGATGCAAAGCTTGAGCTCAGAAATCAGCACGCTCTAAGAACACAACACAATCTGTTTGAGCTACAGTACTGATAGCGACGGCCTCCAAACTAATAGCAATGGCCTCCAACCTGTTTCCCAACGGTAACTTGAAAAGCCCTGCCTGCAAGCATAGAGGGCATGAAGGGATACCGACCAAATTTCTTCATGTTCGGAGGCGCCCCACGACGCTTTCGTTCGAACGTGCCCTCGACAAACTCATAGGGAGCTGAAGGGTCGAAGTCATCATCTTCATCAGAGACTGGAGGGCTTACCTGCCACGCTTCGTTCCAGTCCGCACAAGTGGCCGGCAAATTAAAGCTGCCATCGCGCCCAAAGAAGAAATGATACCAATGAGTAGTTCAGAAAACTGTGCCCAAGTGACCAAAAAGAGTTCTCAAAGCGAATGAGATGACAAAAAAATGTGTCCATCCCCTGGCCCTAGCTTTCACTTCACCAAGGCACATATTGTGGCCCTTCCGCCTCTGAAAGGACCATCCCCATCAGTGAATTCGCAGAATACCCTGGGTTCGGTCGGCCCAAATCCTGCAAAGAACTCAACACGCAACGCATCACCATACACATCCATACACCACAACGGGCTGACACAAAGCAAAAGCATTGCAACTCTTTCCAACGCATCCTCAAAGCTCAACTGTCCGTTCCAAAGCCCTTGCTCCGGCAGCTCCTGGACATGAGGGATGGACTGGCATGCTGCAAAGCCCTGCTAAGCTCTACTATATTGTATTCGCAGGGGTGTTCTATTCCATCTTTCTGGCAGCCCACTGTGTTTGCTCTTTTTGCCCCCCGTCGCTGCGAAAAAGTCATCAATTTAAGTCACACAGTCATGCATCCAAACAGTTTGCAGTACTCAGTACATCAGTGTGTTGCTGCACTACGTGTCTCTGTCCTCGTCATCATCTGGTCCAAGGAGAATTTGACGAATTTCGTCCTCGTACCTCGCGGTATCAACAGGTATATAAAAGAGTTGACCTACATCAATGCTCAATGCTGAACAAGTCTGAATGTCTTGCCAAAATGGCAGCACCTCTTTCGAGCTCCCTGAAGGAAAGGAGGAAACGTTGGTACAGGTTCAGGACTTGCACGAGGATCCTGGAGCAAGCAGTAGCTGCAAGACATGAACTCCATCTACAGCTTTGATAAGGTCCTCCACGTGCACTGATTGCTTCAACCACTTCTTGGCCTTGAAAAGACACGCCAGCGTTGGACAATGTGTCCAACGAACATAGTACACAGATTCTGCTGAACACCAAGGCACTGCATAAGCTTGCCATCTGGCAAGCCCATGCCAAATGAATCTCTTGCCCATTCCTTCCTCAGACTCTAAACCATGTCGTTCCCGAGTCTGGGTGAGTTTCAGGCTTGGTGAGGCCAACTGCACCCAAGCATCCTGAAGATACCAGCCAACCTCCTGAGCAGTCTCCTCTGGAAGTTCTTCCAACCGTGTAATAATAGCAGGCCTCAAAGTCTCGTTGTCCTCGGCGCCGGGAAATCCATGAGGAACTTAACTTGGAAGAGTATATCCTCATACACCCCAGCATAGCGTTTTGGATAAGAAAACGCGCTATTAGACAGGTGGACTGATATTTCGCAAATATATATATATAATATCATACGATATATAATCGCACTGATGCCCACCAGCCTTCAGGGTTCCCAAAAAGTTGTGATCATGGTTGCTCCTGGTTCCAGAGTGCTCCAGGCAAAAAAAAACGATCAGGGCCTTGCTAAGAAAATAAGACCCCTAGGACCTAGGCGGCATGCCACGTCAAAACATTTGTCCGTATCACCTCGACTCTTCCTGTCATCTTGTTTGCATGCTTAATCCAAGGCACAAAGTGCACAATTTGGGCAATGCCTGGCCAATAGTCAGTTTCATCGTTCTTAGGTCGGCCAACCTCGGCGTCGAGCTTTTCTGCACCTATGTATGCTCACTGTACTGGCATACTGGTTCCATGTTTCACACAGGTTTCAGCTGATTTCGTTGCCACGATGTTGGCACACGTCTAGTCAGCCGAGAGACCACCTTCTTCTCCACATCTACACGCATCCCTAGGTCGAGGTCAAACTGGAGCATCGGCTCATTTGCCCGTCCTATCAAATTGACTTCACCTGCAGCATGAATCTACGTGCACTTCCAGCATGCAGCATGAAGCACACCGAGCATGAGCAGTTTTGCCATGGTGGCATCTCCATACATGCACTCTGAAACTGCCTCAATGCTTCTTACAGAACGTCTCGAAAGAGCGCCCAAGGCCTTCAAGTTGCACTTCAGCAATGGAGAGCTCGTACTCTGACCAAGGGGTAGAAGCAATGCTCCGCTTCCTCATTGCAGTCTCCAGGGATCTTCAGGGTGTCAGGCAAGTTACGACGCAAAAAAGCCTCCCCCTAACCGTGTCCTGTCGTCTGGATCTTGCATGCACATCAAAAGGAACTCTGGCAGTGTCCTCTGTGCCCACCTTAGAGTTCTGCGGCATTGACACATCTCCACACCAAACCCAGCAAACGATGCATAGTCAGTGCAGCTGAGAGACTCCAGGAGATCTCGATCACTCCAGTTCAAGCTCATGATGGACAGAGATGCTACAAAATGCAAAATCGGCAATGTGTTTTTGTCATTTTGGGTCCCATCTCACTGCCCCCATCTCACTCTCCACTGCGTTGCATTCGCTTTGCTTTATGTCCTTGCTGGCTGGGCCCAGCTCTTCCCCCTGATTGAGCCCAACTTCGAGCGGTAGGTGCCACATGCGTTACAGAACATGGAATCATTGCCAATCAAGACTTCAAGAAGTTAAGCAGCTTTCGACTCTTAGACTCATACGTAGGCTTATGGGCCAAAAATTACAAAAGCCTGTCGATGTTTGCTGGTTCCACCAAACGACTTCTGGCGACTGAGCTGCCAAAGTGATACTGGTCCTCCGGCATGCAGCGGATATCAAGTCGTCGGTGCAAATGACCACGTGAGAGCCTCACAAACTTATTTCCACTTTGGAAAGCTCTGGCCGAAACCAAGTTCTTCTGTACCTCCTTCAACCTCCACACCCCTCGCCTGCAAACTCCCATAAACTTTGTCTGCCCGAAGGCAAGGTCTCCTGTCACATAGCCAGCCTTCTTCAACGTGCTGACCTCAAAGGAGAGGGAAGGGGCTGCCTCTTCGCTGTGGCTGGAACAACGATGCCGTGCAAGATAATAGACCAAGGCAAGGCTCGAACCCATGAAGGAGCTTTCCACCAGCGTTTGCTTCTTTCTTGGCTGTGGTGTAGTCGGGGTGGCTGATGAGCACATCCTCATGACGAGATCTATGTGAGTTACCCTAAGTCTATCTTTGCCAAAGTTGATTGTAATTATGTGTTCATTTAGATATTCATTTAGATCTTCATTTTATTTACAAACGATTTATGTGTTATGTTCATTTCTTTTGGGATTATCTGTTTTTTTGCATCATGTTCATCCTTCCAGAATTGGTTGGCTTGGCTGTCACTTCCCATAGGCTTCCCATCGCGGCTCCCAAGACATCAGCTCCAAGCTTCGATATCACCACAGTCTGGGCGCCCACGGCGATAGGAACCACAAACCTTACTTACATAAATTAAACATCTTCAGCAGCAGACTCAGAAAACCCCTAGTCCATCATGTGTCCAGGAATCAGAAGCCGAATGCCGCATGCCCTTAGAATCCAAGCTCTCGACTGTCAGGAGCAGGTCCGGGTGCCCTTTCAAGCAGCATTGCTCCAATAACTTGTGGTGCTCTTTCATCTCAGCCTCATGGGCAGGCAAATGGCTACACAACAAAAAGCCCACCTCGCCTGCTGCCTGGGGTATCCGCTTGCTGAACTCTTCGCAATGGCGAAGCCCCAAGGCCTAACAAGCATGTACAAGCATAGCGTCGGCTTGCTTCGCATGCATCTCTCGTCTGTGCATGGCAGTCAAATCAACGATTAGATGGTCATCAAGAGTGACCTGCGCTGAGTCCAGGTGGACTTGGTTCTTCTCCACGGCGTCTCTGAGTTGCGCCAGCGATCTTATGCCTCGCTCCACCAGCTTGGCAGCACTGACAGCACCAATGCCGTGCACCTGATCTGCAAAAATCTTGGTTTCAACATATTTCGACTGATGAGCCAAACACAATGAAAAATCCTGCCCCAAGAACCATCGGAAGCAAAGTCCCCCTAGCTTGCGACGATCCTGCACGTGCAGTATTTGGCTTCATTCATCTCAATCTGACCCCAGGTTCAGCCAAAAAATGGGACTCGCAGTCGCCGAAGCACGGATCGGAGCTCTCGCAGGGCCACTACATCGCTGTCCAACTTCAACTCCTCCAGCTCTTTCAACTCGCCCGTTTTCAAGATCACCTCGGCTGAAATTAAAAGAAACTTGCAAAAACGCAAGGGTATAATTGTAATTGGCGTAAACAATGGAGTATGACGGCAGAGTGGCTAGTTATATATATATATATATACATGAATTAAGGGTAAACATAAGCTAGCAGCTAGCAACTAGCTAGTAGGAAGGATGCAACACCACCCTTCGCATGGCTGAAACGGTTCAGTTTGATTTTTTGAAATGGCCCGCACCATGGCCAACAGGAATGTTGCCTCGTGTTCTAGAACTTTTTCATGCTATTGACGGGCGGCCCGAGGACAACACTTTGTGACATTCACTGCTTTCACTCAGCAGCCATTAATGTTCAACCGTTCAACCTCGATATGTGAGAAAAGTCTTGGGAAACCTATTCCAGACCCAAAAGTTGCTCTGGGGGGTGGCAAATTTAAAAAGAAATCCAGAGTTGTTTTTGTTGTTCAAGTGTTTTCCTCACCTGTGTACTGTGTTGGCCTTGAAAACCCCCACCGCCGCCGAAACCACCACTCCGGCTCATATTTCCTTCACATATTTGCGTCACGCTGTTTTCTGTGTTCCTACTGTTGTTCCTCTGTTGTTGGTCCATCTTTGGTCCTGCGACTCTGAGCTGATACCTGTATAAAACTACATCAACATACATCAACATATTGCCACAAACCTTTTTTGAAGGAGGTAGCCAATTGATTTCAAACGAATGGCCTAGGCATTTGGAACACGACACAAAACCTTGTCCGGCTGCAAAAGAAGCCGGCGACGGTCTCTATTATTTATGTGTCTGCCTCCGCCCTCTCCTCCGCCTTCTCGGGTCTGACTTCAGTTTGCTGTGCTCCGGGCCATAAAATGCCAGAGCAAGTGCCGAAACACATACAGTAAGCCAGAAAGCAGGTCAAAGACATGCCTTTCCTGATGCTAGCACAAATGAAAGAACAAATGTCATACATGCCAGAACGCACATCAGCACAAAGGCTGGAACACTTGCAGAAGAACAAATGTCAGAATACGTGACGGAACACATGTCAGAGCCAAAACAAATGTCCGAACAAATGGCAGATTTGATCAGAACAACTGTGGGAATACATGACAGGACAGGTGTCAGAACCAAAGCCGGACAATGCGTCACAACAAATTTCAGACTTGACAGCAGGACAAATGTCAGAACACATGCCAGAAAGGACGTCAGAACACATTCCAGAACATTTCCCAGCCTTTACATCACTTACACGAAAGGATGTCCTTTTATGCCCTTTTCATTTCTGTTAACGTCCTGGTTGCAGTCAACACTCGAACCTTGACTAAACCTTGAATCAAACTCATTGGCCAAAGACACATCGATCCGATTGGCCATGCCAGCACCAATCCCTTTAATGGCCTTTGCTTGGGCCCCACTGTCGATCGGCTCCGCAAGTGCTCGCAAGGCTTGAGCTGCTTTCGCATAGGCCTAGCTCGGACAGCGAAGAGAAGGGCCACTGACCTTGCTGCCTTGCTCAAGAACTCACGGTACTTTTGATCTTTGGCGAAGGCACTCCAACAGGCTCTAGTCACTCTAGTGCCTGCGAGCGAAAGCGATCCCGCTTAAGCCTTTGAACGACACTCATCTCCTCGAAAATGGATGCAATCTTTTCATTGCCTAGCAGGGTAATGCCAGCAAAACACATTCACGTCAGACCTTAGCCTGCTCTTGTGGAAACAGTTTGGGGCACGGTCAAACAATGCAGGTCAGGTAGGCAAATTGAAACGCAAACGGAAAGGGATAGGTCGGTAGATGCGAGTTCATTCTGCTGCAAGGAGGGGAGGAGGAGGGGGAGGAGGAGGGGGAGGAGGAGGGGGAGGAGGAGAAAAAGCAAGTGCAACTATCAAATATCTACGATGCTGCTGTATCGGTCGTAGATCATACTAGATCAGTTTGGTCGCACTGCGTTTTTCTTCCGCTGTCCATTGCACCGGTTTGACCATTTTCAGTCTTCCAGCGCTTCATGTCTTGCATCACGCTTTCCAGTTCTGCGCTTTGGGTGAGGTTTTCGAGTGAGTTTCCAGGCATCCTCGTCCACTTCACCATCATCAATACCAACGATCGCGGGACCTTTGCGCCTTCGTGGGCCAATGATATGCGCAGGCAGTTGAAATGCGGCAGCCTGTTCAGGGGTGCACGGCCAAAGGCGCACTCTCAACTCATCAGGAGGTGCAAGTCCTCTCCTCCTTAAACTCTTTGGAGAGTGGATCGCCATTTGGAGTTCTCGAATGGATTCTTCGAAGTACTCGGGCTTTGCCATGTCACGAACTTCAGCAATGATACGGAGAGCCAAATCCAGTACATCTTCAGCTGTGGCGCGTGATTGCAGAATACGGGCCTCTACCCGGTGCCCCTTTTCTAAAAAGCTTCTAACTTGGTTGACTTTCCGCTCAAAATCGTGTTCGTCGATGACAGCAGAAAACCGCATACCTTTCACTCTCATAGCAGGGTCAAAGGAGAACTCCCTTAATTGCTGCTCCCGGCGCTTCTGTTCTTTGGAAGCCTTTTCTTTATCTAATTCTTCAATGTACACGTGCAAATCCACTAGTCGACAGAGTGGCGGGTCAATCTGCCCAGAAAGCACAACTAAGTCAGTCCGCCTCTGCTTGGCCAGAACCAAGGCTTCTTGGGTGTTGAAGTCACCAACGAGACCCGCATCGTCAACAACCCGCACTCGCTGAAAAGGAATATCTTGATTTGCTAGAATGTCATGAACCGAAGCAAACGACCTTGGCCGACATGCCCTCCACATAAAACATAAAGGTGCGTGTTCACCTCGAAAACTCAAGCTTCTCAAATGCAGAGGTGTTCCCCTACGAACCTGCTCATGCAGAAGGCCGTGTCCAAGGAGCACGGAGGAAGCTATGCCTTTGACGTGTCTAAATCGCCTGCAGGTCTGATTTAGTGTTCTTTCGCCAAATCTCCGCATAAAGGAGGCCATGGCGAGGCAGTCGTCTTATCTGTTTTGCTCCTGACCTGTACCCTTTGGCAAGCTTTCATTCAGTTGTTGGTCTGGGTAGTGTTTCAGAGACTGTATCGATGGAATACAATTGACTTTGATGTTACTGATGGAGTCGGAGTTTGAATTGACTGAATTTGATGAAGTCTTGGAACCTCTTTAAAACGCTGACGAGTGCTGTGCTCTTGTTCAGCCAATCCAGGAAATTCCCCGCATCCCATACACCTGAAGAGGTTTACAGTGTATATATATATATAAAGTCTTAGAACAAGCGAATCTTATGAAGTCCAATCAACTAGCCTAACGAGCAGCCCAGAACCCCTGTTTTACCATCTTCCCCATCTGCCCCGGCAGGGCTGTGATACGAAAGAAGCTACAGTAAATGCAGGAAATGCGCGGCGCAAAGCTGTGGAAGAATGTCTATGGCACTTACTGTAAAAGCTACGGCGAAAACCTATACAGTAAGTAGAAAATCCCCAACTGGATGTTGGTAACCCCTTACTGAACCATGCATTTGAGGGTTTTGGCCTGGTCCGTTCGAAGCAAAGCCGCAAAGCTCGTGCCTATCTTCGGATCGCCATCTCCATCTCCCACACCAGCGCCGCTTGTGCTGGGTGAACTCGGCCCACCCAAATCAGCCAGACTACCTCAATGAGTCTTCGCATGCCGGTGTGGTTAGGAGTTGTTCAACCGTGCTTCTGTCGATCGCCAATATCTATGTGGCATTATCTAGCGAAACCATGAAAAGCTTTCTTAAAACGCCCTTTTGAAAAAAACAACAAGCGCAGCCAAACATGCCTGCGAAATCTGAAGCAAAGGAACTTTGAACTGGGGCCTCGTCGAAACAACTTGACAAAAAAGCACCCAACAAAAGGCATCCTCAAAAGCGCCCACCTCTGATCTCTCTGGTCCCTTGGGCAGCTTGGAAGGGGAACCTTCCTTCTTCTCCTTTGTGAAATATCGCGAGAGCGTCTTCTTTGGTTTTGCAGTTTCAATGGCTGCAACCTCCCTCGCCGGCTGAGGCCTGCCAGGCGCATTGTTTCTGAGGATGGAAATTGATAGCCCAGCCACGGGATGACATACGTAGCTGTAGAAGTCAAGACAGGCTCAAAACAAAAAACTAGTAACGTGAAGAGCTGTTGAGATCCTTCCCTGTATACTGACTAGCCCGATGCACCTGTCAGGAAGTTCAGAGGCCCCACCTAGCGCTTCAATCCGCACTCTGGAGAAATTCTAAGAGAGCTTGGCATGGCCTCCAACCTACTGTAAAAGCAATGGCCTCCACCCTAGACGTGATGGCCTCCAACCCAATAGCGATGGCCTCCACCGTAGTAGCTTGGTGGCGGCAAGGGTTTATTGTCTTCTGCGCGTCTTGGCATCCCTCTTTGCTCAACCTATCCCACGGCACCTTGAGCAACTGCTGCGGTAGCCACATCTGCTTCAGATGGGCTGGTGATGCGCAAGCGCCTGCCAGCCCAATCTGAGCGGTTTCATTACAGTCAATCACATTTGAAAACAGTACGGACGGCGCAAACTCCAAGTATAGAATAGAAACTCTCTGCAGCCATTCTTCAAAGCCTGACCTTCTCTTGCCAGTCAGTATGTCAATCTCCACACGCGCATCCAAGTGCAGTTCACACAGGCGACTCCCTACCATGCAGGATGCCAGACTCTTCAGACCAGCACCAGCAACTCGCAAGCTTTGCAAAACCTGCTGTCACGCCCATCAATAAGCTACTAGGAACAAGTGCATCGCTTCTAGTAACAAGTGCCTTACTAGTAGTAACAAGAAGCTATTGGAAACGATAAGCCTTCTTGTTACTACTAGTAAGGCACTTGTCATGTGTTCCACTCTTCAGCTTCAGATTTAATCAACTGGCATATATAGACGAAAGCATCGAACCAAACTGACCGGGGCCTCCTGCTCACAAGGATGCCAGCCGCTATCATCTTCTACCTATGCGGTTTGCATCGACTTAGGTGACCATGCTTGGCAATGGTCTGTGCCTCCCAATGTGCCAAAGCAGCTGCTGTCACCTCTTGCGGAGTTGCCAGCATCGCATTGCTCGGCACACTGCCATGGAGTCAAAGATTCATTCAACAAAACAACCAATGAGACTGGAAGGCAAAGCATGATTTCCTTTACAGCCCACCAGTCTTCAAAATGAATCTAGCTGCTAGCTCAAAGGTCTGCGGCCTACGGAAGTCGGGGCTGACAGAACACTAGTTTCCCAAAACCTCTCGCGGTCTCCTCAACTTTTGAGCCGCAACCGAGACTCAGGTGCCTTGTCTCAAAGCCCCTCCATACGCTTTGTTTGTTTGTTTCCTTGTTTGTTCGCTTGCTTATTTGTTTGTTTGCGTAGTTCTTTTTGGGTGTTTCTATGCTGCTGGGGCGTGACCCCTGATCCCCTGTTGGAGGAGGGGAGATAAGAAAAGTGTGCGTTCTGTCACATGTCTTGCACTTGCTCCTCTTGCTCCCAACCACGGCGAAAGAACCATCAGCTGCTACAGACCCCTTCAAGCAGGGTGCAACTGGGACATGCTGATTTTTTCCGAGTCCACGGATCCAGCTCGAGCCTCTGCAGACCCAGCTGCAGGTGAAACTAACTTCTTTTGGGATGTTCAGTTCTCTGCCAGGCCAAGATGGCTGATTGATACTTAGGCTGAGCTGAGCTAACGCTCCTTGAAGTTGTCAAAAATTGGCTGGAGCTGCTTGTAACAGCTTGTAGTATGTAGGCGGCTATCTATCTATTCACACTGGCATGCATGTGGCGAACAATAAAATAACAAGTGTTGATTGGTGCATCCTCTTGTCGATCTTTGGATGCCAAGGACTGGGCTGATGATCAGATGGGCCTGGGAGTTCCACGACTACCGTTGAATCATGCCACGCTCCTTCATGCGCTGCTTCGTCAGAGCCTTAGTCAAAAACGCCAAAAAAAACGTGTATATATATATATAGTGTTCCCGTAAAAGCACATATGGAAGCCGCACCAAGGATCTGCGCCACAATGACTCGCCCAGGGCCCCAAACCAGTGAAGCTGCCGCCGAGATAGGAAATCGACGCACAGAGCCAGTCGTCGGGCGGCTGGACATTGGCCTGGGAGGTGGCCCCTGGACAGCCACCAACCTACCACGCAAACTCCCTATCTAATGTACTATACAGACTATACAGCGCAATATTTACCAGGAAGTCTCCGATAGGAGGGACAAGCTTTGGACATTGAAAAGGTGCTTTCACTCGGAGTTGATGGCCTCAGAAGTTTCCCGCACATGGTCACCCGCAGGGGCATAGCAAGACATTGATCATCTTCCTCCATTCAGAACCTTGAGCCTACCATTGGAAGAAGATGGGACTCGGGCAAAGAATCTCCAACCGTCACTCTCTGCGGTCGAGCTGTTTGTGGCCTGACTTCTCCCGACAGGTTTTTCAACCACTTGAATGTAATTATCCATCTTTAAATCCAAAACTCCAACATATTCCACCCCAACTCTCACACAACTGTCCGAACAACCAGGCATAGAGGCAAATTTCAAAGTGTCAGACGCGGAAAAGGTACTCTCACTGGGAGTGGATGGCCTGAGTCACCGTCCGCAGTAAAGTAGCACTGTCCAGTGTCCACCAATAAAAGCTTTATGGTTGCTACTAGCTTCTTGCTACTAGTAGCGATGCCCTTGTTACTAGTAGCTTCTTGTTCCTAGTAGTACTGCCAGGAACTACTAGTAGCTTCTTGCTGATGCCCTTGTTACTAGTAGCTTCTTGTTCCTAGTGGTGATGCGAGGAGCTACTAGTAGCTTCTTGCTACTAGCGATGCCCTTGTTACTAGTAGCTTCTTGTTTCTAGTAGTCATGCCAGGAGCTACTGCACTTGTTACTACCGTAGTAGCTTCTTGTTCCTGGTAGTACTGCCAGGAGCTACTAGTAGCTTTTTGCTACTAGTAGCGATGCCCTTGTTACTAGTAATTTCTTGTTCCTAGTAGTAATTTCAGGAGCTACTGGTAGCTTCTTGCTACTGGTAGCGGTGCCCTTGTTACTAGTAGCTTCTTGTTCCTCGTAGTAATGCCAGGAGCTACTAGTAGCTTCTTGCTACTAGTAGCGATGCACTTGATTGTTACTAGTAGCGATGCCCCTGCTAGTAGCCTGTATTCTGTGCACGGTGATTGGGCAATCTGTTGATAAGACTCGGGCACGTGATCTCCAACAGTCACTCTCGGCGGTCTCGCCGTCTGTGGCCTGTGCTTCTGATGGTTCTAAGGCACTGTTGGACGACAACGCACTATCGGTTCCAGGGTCGCCGGCGTGTGCTGCTTTGGCTCCGCTGGCACTGTTTGGACATACTGGGGTGTCGATTCTCGTGGACCTCAAGTCCAAGTGACAACTTGACCATGCGACTGTAACATGCGCTCGGATATGTCTTGCTCTTCCCAAAGGTATGCTACAATGTAGGGACCCAACTGATGGCAGGTAGACAAGGTCTTTAGGAAGGAGTCTGAAAGTTGTTGGAATGGCTAGGTGCTGGATGTGCCTACACCTGTTAAACAACTCATTTCAGCTCGTTATAGTATGTTATAGTTATAGTTCATTCTAGAACTTCTCCTCCCACAAATTCGTGATGGCCAACAGGAGACCTGCGGACTTCATGAAACGGACATGCATAAAGCGACTTTTTTGGCCCTTCGGTGTTCTTACTGGTCTTGTCTGTTGACTCAAAGACTGGCAAAGTTAAATTTACGCCTCGATAGATCACCCTGGGCCATACCGAAAATCCCAGCCTTTGTTCGCGGTGATGCCACTGTGGTTGTTGGGTTTTGGATGGCTTTTGTAGATACGGACGGTCCACCACAAGGTTTTTTTTGCGGTCACAGGTTACAAGCATCGGATAGCATCGGTCTATCTTTGAGGCCTTTGAGGTTCCTGACATGTGCCCCGCATGCTGCACGCTACACGTCTGCAAACTTCGCTGGAAAATGTGCAACCGAAACCCCAAGCACTCCCCTGTCATCCTCGCTCTATGTTCTAGATCGTTAGAAAGCTGAGTTCTCAACCCGACCCGTCAGTGCTTCGCAAGCTGGAGAGCATTTCCACCAAGCCAATGCGAGACCTTATCTCGAGCAAAGCACAAGCTCAACATGCTGTTGTCATGCACCAGGATCCTTACGTGCAGGGCATCTTTTTGAATTCTGCCACTGCTCTTTCTGCATTTTTGATGCCTGGAAGGTGGGGTAGCGCGACGTGCATGTGGCACTAAAAGTGTGGTGAGCCATCTGAGACGGAGGCGCTTCGTGTCTTCCCAGGACTCCAGACACTCCTGCTCTTTCTATAAGTTTGTTGGCCCGATTCGCTGATGACAAGAATAAAGATAAGAAAAAAGAAAAGAAAACGGTCCCTTGAATAAGGCCTCCTTTTCAAGGTGGCCATATTTAAGGGGCCCTTCCTTCCCTTTGTTCTTCTCTTTATTCTTACCTGGGCATCCCTCGTCCTGCAACGCTGCACGTCCACGCTCTCGCTCTCGGACTTGCTGCCTGTGGTAGGAGCGACAGTTCCGCACGTGAGACAGCTTTTGGAGGCCTCGCCTCAATAGAGGTGTTGCCTCAAACTGAGGCACACACTGCACCAGATCGCGGTGGCAGGCCAAGTTGTTGATTCGATCTAATTCCTGGGCTTCACCACGCAATCATGGCATGATCTACAGAAATTGCTTTTATGTCTTAGGGCGTGGCATGGTCCAATGCCTTCCTTTGCTCCTTCTGCCTTTTCTTGAGCTCTACCTGGTTGCCAAAGTCGGCCCACTTGACCCTAGTAGCGTCCTTGCTCCTAGTAGCGATGCCAGGAGCCCCTAGTAGCTTCTTGTTCCTAGCAGTACGCCAGGAGCCCCTAGTAGCGTCCTTGCTCCTAGCAATCTGCCACAAACCTAGGCAACGCCTGCTGATCAAGATCGTCCCTCAGATTGGCTTGTCGCTCCATGATGTAGTCACGCACCTGTTTGCCACTCTGAGAAGCTCAAGTCGGCTCAAAGCGGTAGAAGGTTGAGTGCTAGGCTGAGATGCTGGAAGGCTTCGAAAAATCCGGGAAGTCGTGAAGGGATGCCTCCAGACCGCCGCCAAATCATGCACCCAGACCGTACAACGTGCAGCAAGCAACTTTACAACTAAAGCTGTCTAAAAGAACAAAGTAGTGACGCCCATTTAGTGGCACGAGGTAGGGCAAAGCTCGTATTTAGCCACTAGCACGTGGTACAGTACAGTATATAGCTGGGTCCACTATCCGGATCGATGGAAATAAAAAATCTGTTCGCCTGTTCCTTGGAGAGCCGCCTGGCTTCAGCTCGCCGCTGCTTGGTCTCCCTGATCTGCTCCTGGTGGGTTCCAAATTCAGCAGAAAATTGTTTTTTTTCTCGGGGGGCCGGGGGGTAGGCCGAGAAGAGGTAGGAGGTAGTAGGGAGAGGTAGCTAGTACCTTATTGAAGGTACTAGTATGGACGCAGGATAGCTAGCCGCTTTTCGTTTGGCTCCTAGATATTAAGGGACACTTAAGTAAGCAGAACGCTCCAAATTGCAGACCACCTCAACGCCGTTCTACATTCATCATGTACGCAACTGGCGTTGTTGATGTCTGTCCTTGAGCATCTCTGTATGGTCCCTTTGAGCCGCTTGCCTCCAGTCCAAATCCTTCCATCCAGTCTCAGACTCGGCCGACTCGAACGGACGAAGGCGCAACGTGCTTTCCATGAAAAAGCCCCCCTGGATTGGAACGTGCAGAGTCTCTTTTAGATCTCCTATGATGTCAAAAGCTCAGCGCTCCTTCTGTTCTTGTTCCAAGCACTGCCTTTCACAGCATGCCATGAAAGCTTTGTCCAAATGCAACCAGTGCAGCAAAGCTCCAAGCCTCATGTGGTGCTCCCACAACTCTTTCCTGGGAATGGCTAACAACTGGCCATGTCTTGCCTTGACTTACCTTTTGAACAATCTAGAGTACTGAGCTAGTATGGCAAGTCTATGCTGAAGATAGACTCCTCTTCACAACTGCCTTTTTGTTCTGCTTAACTTGACAGACTCGGCCCCGACTTCTTTGAAGGCGGAGAAGGTCTCATGCAAACCGCAAGCTGATTCAAGCAATGCAGCAGGGTGTCTCCCTGGTAGGATGCTGGGCGAACGTGACACTGGTAGAATGCTCGAAACCCCCACCTGAAAGTCATGATGACAGCACCAAAAACACCTCTCGGATCAGCATCAACAGGTAAGTATTCCCGTGTTTACCTTCGCTGGGATGAGAAAGCGATGTGACTATCCGCTTTGGAGGCACCCTGCTGCAAGGCAATAAGCGAAACATTGCTTATGCGGCTGATATCTCCTGATGCTTGCTCAGCTTACTTCAGCCAATCGTTCATCTTGCCTGTCTGCTCTGGAACTGCCTGGGCTCTGCACCGAACACATTGAAGCCCAAATGACAAATATTGTGCCAGGGTTCCCTGTTTTGCAAAATGTCCATGGTACAATTTTACGTGTGCGCATGCGTCATAAGAAGTTTCAAACATGTGTGTATATGTATATATATATATATCTGTGTGTGTGTGTGCGTGTGTCTTATAGTCATATATATATAAGCATGTACAGTACAAGTATCGGTAATTGTTCTGCTTTCAAGCCATTAGAGTTTAGAGCAGGCCACATTGACTTGCAGTCTCTGATCTGCTTCGCGTAATGCTTGAAGGAGTGCTTCCAGTGGCAATGCGGCTGAAAATCAAACTGAATTGCCCAGCATTTCGGCAGATTCTGTGCCGACCAGGCTTCTCAGCCTTCGTTTCAGGAGCATAGTAGCCTGGCCCAGGCGCACAGCCGGATGCCTTTGTGGCTCGTATCGTTTCAGCTGGTTGTCCTTTTCTCTGAGTCCATGCAGGTGAAGATGCCAAACGTACTCTGGAGGATTGTTCCATTCCATCCACTAAAGGGTACTGCCCAGGGCCCAGCGGGTTGATCCACATCTTGATGTTGCCAGGATTTCGGACACCTTTCAAAACTCCAGCGTCGTCCATCCGCGCATCATCTCCGAAGGTCCACCTGGGGAAGTATATGAAATTTTATATATAAACCCATTGCACCCTACAGATGGTCAAAAATAATGGCAACTTTGTAATGGCATTCTGACAACAAAACTGCTTCTGGCTGAGATGTTTTGACCAAGAAGCTGTGGTGATTTCTTGAAGCGCGCGTCAACATCCTTGCTGACCTCTCTCGTTGTATCACTTACAAAGTCTCGATCAGCCTTGTACTGCCCTGGTTGGACGTTCTGTGCAGCAGTCTTGAGGGCTAAGCCCGACTCCTTGGAGCATTGGCAGCATTGTGGTTAAAAACCATTACCCAGTCACCGTCTCGCAAGTTTGAACCACCCTCTCTCAGCAAACTCGTAAAAAAAACAAAAAAACTGCTACCTTGGACATCTGCTATCTCCTTGCACCTACTTCAACCGCGGTCTTTTACTTTCATCCGCGAGCCGAGTGGTCGTCAAGATTTCCCGCCAAGTTTGGCGTACCTCCACATCCGGTGATAAGCACGGATCAAAGAAACCTGCACTCGCAAAACTCTCAGACACTAATACAACTCTTATGCTACTCCGCTGCATTCTGGCACGTGGCCTCACTGGATCTTCAAGAACTGCGTGCCGTCAGCGGTGGCTCTGGTGGTCCAACCAATGTCTGAAGAGCCCTTGACTTTCACCTTCAAACGGACATCTTCATTTGGTGTCTTTTTGTCCCACTCCAGGACCTCCAACTTCTGACCCACCGGAAGCTGCCGCAAAGCATTGCTCTCCTCCAAAGCCTCGGTGAGTGGCACTTCTCTGAGAACCTCCATGTTCCCATCTGAGACCGTGAGGTATTCAGTTCCATTGTTGCCTGTGATGGTGGCCCAGCCCTCAACGCCATCGAAAATTGCGCGGCATCTGACGCGCTGGATCTTGGCCGAAGCCTCCTCCACAGGACCTTCTAAGACCTCCACCAGCTCTTTGAGCTCCAAGCGACGGACCGTCTGACCTTCTTCAAGGCCTTCCTTGTCCGTGATCACCGTCTCAGCTGCCACGAGGTAGTAACTGCGGGAGGCCAAAAAGAGAGTGTCCTTGCTGAAGCCACTCCCAGGCTCGAAGAAATTGAAGACCTTTTCAATCTGCTCACCACTGAGTTTGCAACCTTCACAGCCTTCCATGAAAGTGGTGAAGTCGGAAAGATTGACCAAACCATCTCCATCCTTGTCGGCTTCCTTGAACAACTCTTCCGCACCTAGCTTCTTGGATCGCAAGAGCTTTGCCACCTCCACTTTGGCCAAATGGAGTTCCTTGGCCTCTTGCAGCTCCAAAAAGGCACGGCCACGCTCAGAAGCTTGAGTCGCTATTCCCAAACGAGCGTCCATTGAGCCCACCTGGCACGGACACAAACACGGCCAAAGACACCACTCTTCACTCATCACTGTTCGCTAAAGAGCTTGTCTTGTCTCACTGTGCACAATCGGATTCTATGTTGCAAAAAACAACCTATGTAACTTACATACACGTACCTCATGCCAACTCATGCCTTTCAATACACGTGTCAGGATTCGAGGTTGCTGTCCTGAGGCCCCAACCTTCAACTCCACCTTCCGGGTCTCCATCTGAGTCCACTGCTTGATGTCATCGTCTGCTGACCCTATAAGGTCTGCGAGGCGGGTTCGCACCTCTGACAGCTCAGTCTGCGCATCCTTGCAGGCAGAGCAAGCAGCCTCCATGGCCTTGGCAACGGCATCCTTGTCTGGAGTCGCACCCAGGTAGTCTTTGGACAAGTGCTCCACCTTCCCAGCTTCCTCAGCCTTAGCAACAGCAGGCTCCGCTTCTGTGAGGACATCCAAAACCTTTTGGATGTCAGCTTCAATAGCCTTCTTCTTGGCTTCCAGCGCCAAGCGTTTCAGCTCGGCTTCCTTTCTTCGAGCCTTGGAGGCTTCTTCCTCACGAAGAATACCAACAGCCACCTTGATGCGTTGGAAATGAGCCTTTCCAACACTGCCACGACCATCTCCATACTTCTTCACAACTGCCGCTGCAGCCTCCTTGCTCAGTGCGAAGGAGAACTCGCCCTTGGCATAGGCGATGATCTCATCCACTGTCATGACCTCCTTCTTGCCATTGTACTTCTCGAAGGCTGAGGTGCGCTTCTCCAAGGTCTTTGTTGCCAAGGTCTTTTTGATTGCCTTGTCAATCATCACCCTGGCAGAGATCGTTGAGGAGACCACGATCTTGTAGCACTCTTGGATGCGGCTCTGGAGCTTCAGCTGCTCCTCACGGATAGCGGCAAGCTGTGGCGGCTTCACAGAGTCAATGCCCACACGTCGCTCCACAATGAAGTCGGAGCAAACTTTGCAGGAGGCCTTCGCAGCAACTGACACCTCTCCAACAACTTTGCCAGCTGCCCGAGCATCTTCTTCACTCATGATCTTACTTTCGAGCACTGGGGCTGCCGCAGATTTCAGCTGGGCTGTGTCTTGTTCCGCCTTGTCAACGAGAAGGTTCAGTTCTGCCAAGACCTTCTTCACCTCCTCACTACGTTCTTGGTTTTGTCTTTCCTCCTCGGCCCGCTGCTGCTTCACTTGCTCCACTCGCATCTGTGCCACTTGAATTTGCTGCAAGGCCTCAGCTTTCACAACCTCCGCCTGACTTCCACATTTAGGCAGCTCTTGCATCACCAGCTTTTCAACCTCGTCCTTGATTTGGAGAAAGGTCTCCGGTGTGGCAGCAGAAAGCTTTTGCAGAATGCTCTGACAATTCATGATGCCCTGTTGCTCTGCACGGCGCTGCTGCTCTTGTCGCCGCTGCTCTTCTTCTCTTTGTTTTTGTTGCATCATCTGTTGTTGTTGCATCTGCTGCTGCTGCATCTGCTGTTGCTGGTATTGCTGCTGTGTCATTTGCTGCGATTGTTGATACTGTTGTTGGTAGCCAGGCTGCTGCTGGTATGCCTGTGCATACCCTTGCTGCCCATAGGCCTGGCCATAACCTTGCTGACCGGCACTGATCACAAACGTGGGATCCACAGCGCCATCATATGGGACTCTCCAGCCTGTGGATGGTGGTGTGGCACTCCTCTCGCTGTTGTAGGCCCAGACTTGGTCTCCTCCAACTTTCGGCCCAAACCACCAACCACAAAAGTTCGCACCATCGCGCTCATCCCAAAAATAGATCAGGACATCGAGCGTCGGGTTGTTTGCAACAGGCTCATTCTTTTTGTAGACTGGCCTCCCATGATTCTCCGTCTGCAAAGTGAAGGTGCCCCTGACAATGTTGCCCACTGTCGCATCAGCACAGCCTGTGACTGCTAGTGGCGCGGAGCCGCCTTGCTGGTACTGCGAATACTGCTGAGCAGCGGCGGGCTGCTGCTGTTGCTGTTGCTGTTGCTGTTGCTGGTATTGTTGGTACTGTTGGTATTGCTGTTGCTGCAGCTGCTGTTGCTGCTGCATTTGTTGCTGGTACTGTTGTTGGTACTGTTGCTGGTACTGTTGTTGCTGTTGCTGCTGTTGCTCAGGGGTCATCTGCTGCATCTGTTGCATGCCATATCCTGGCATCATGTAGCCAGCCATCCCAATTGTCTGAAGGAATCCCCTAGACTGCAAGTTTCTGTTCTACTGGCCTCTCGTGTTTGAGCCAATGCCACCTACAAGGATACTGTGAACAACTTGCGCAACTGACTGGACATGCAAACCTTCGAGCTACATCCAAAGTGCATCGAAGCGTCAAGACATGTCTACAACTTCGACAACTCACATGAAACACAGGCCGTTAATTCAAAGAAGCATCAGACTCGCTTCTGGAGAAAGTATACCTAGGCGCACGCTTCTGGCTGCCCAATTTGTCCAAATACCTTGCCACATGGCCCCAGAGACCACAGCGCAAACACACAAACGGAAATGCTTCCGTGGAGGTGCCCAGCCTCCCATATTGAAGATGGGGGCATGGCGGGAACATCGGCGTCTTCGCAACAAAGGGCTTTGCAGCAGGCTTTGTAGAGCTCTTGCTGGCATTGCGTGACATGCCACACCTCAGTTCACTGGGGCTCGTCTATTGCAAAAAAAGCTCAAAACCTCTCCCCTCCCGCTCTCATTTGTTCCAAGCTGCTCGTCTGAAGACGCAAAAGTTAAAATGCTCCAGAAGAGCCCTTCAGCTCATGGCACCCAATTGTGCTGCTGTTGGCAACTACACAGAATCGTGGAGATGGCTGCTGTTGATCAGGCTGCAAGCGCCAAAGACTCTCTAGTCTTGTGGCCTTCGTGCTGACTGTTGAGGTCTCTTGTGTGAAAATTGGTCCAACCGACTGGAGTGGAAAAGCAACGTCAAGATACATCTCAAGTGAGTTGGCCCCTGTGTAACCTGTAGGTCTCCCTGGTCTTCGAACTGTTCCATGCTGGGAGTCTAACTGCTGCAGAGCTTGTTCTGCTTCTTCACCAATGCCGGCAAGATGCCTGTCCCTGGCCTAGCATGACTCATGACATCAGCCTACAGGATCCTACAGGTGTCAAACATGCCTTCCTAAGAGCTTTCCTGTGAAGGACTTCCAATGTCCACAGCGCCTCTCTTTGTGCAAGCTGCTCTTTGGAACCACTGGAGGCCTAGGGAAGAAGGCATCTGGAAGGTATCTGCACATCTGAATGTACACAAGCAATCATGGGAAGACACCCACCCAGCACTTAGCTGCGCACCTGCGTTTGTGGAAGGCTAGAAGTTGTATCCTCGAAGCCGCCAAGGTCAGTAGCCTGCCATGGCAGCTTAGACAAAGGTCAGTGTGGAATGACATGGGTAGTTCACACCTTCGCAGTCCCATGAAAGGGGCTAGAGCCAACAGTCAAGGACCTTCAACAAACGAAATCATTCAACCCGTCATAGCTGCACGAACAGAACTGGGGCAGGGGCAGCGCATCCTTAGTAGGTCTGGCGAAGGTGTTCGAGGGCTGGTAGCTCGGCCTGGGCCAAACAAAAACAAGCAAATCCTTGCAAAGCTTCTGGCAAGAAGTTCGAGCCTTGCTGTCGCATCCGCTGGAGCCTGCAGGCCAGCCTGTGCAAAGAAGTCCTTGGTATCTGCGTTTCGCCACATTGTACTGAATGAGCAAACACATTGCAACATCATCCACTAGTGCTCAGGGACAGGCTGCCAAAAAGCTAAAGGTGACTACACGGTTCGACGAACGCAATGTGCCAACTTCCATTTCTATGGCCACCTTGGTGTCGAAGTTTCAGCAACACCAGGCTTGCAAGCCATCCTGCTGTCCCCGTGCCTCACGGCCAAACGCGATTGCCTGAGGCAGGTGGCTCACTTCCCAGGCACTAGACTCGCTGACGGGTGAGCTGTGGTTGACCAAAGTCTCCGCCTCTGTGAGCTGATGTATGATAGCCCTGAGGCCTGCCAGCTGAGCGATACAGGTCAAGCAAGTTGAGACAGTGTGATGTCTTGCGATCGGTTGAAGGTCTCGACTTTTATGGGACAAGCTCTGGCACTCTGCTGACAGCTTGGAAAAGGTATGAGTTGTTAAAGATCTGTACAGCTTAGCCGAGAGAACGGCTGCTCTTTGCCCCTCCATTTTGAGACGCGTCTTGGCAAAGCACAAGCTCTCACAGCTCGCGGGGAGCCCCCGGGCCTGCGGCAACTAAAAATACTCGCGTTCTTTGCGACGAAGGCAATCAGGAAGCAAATGGCAACGTATGGCGACAACAAACCAGAGCTCCTTTCAAGACTGCTGTGAGCGCAGCAATTTCAGTGTCCAGCTCAGAGAACTTCTGCAGCCCCTCCTGCTGCGAGGGAAGGTACAAAAGAGACTGAAGGCCGTTGTGACGTTGTGGTAATTCTTCATATGTCTGTTGATCTCTCTGGATTTTCAGGGCTCCTCAAAACCATGCAAGCCTTTTCTTCCCTGGTTCGCTCCGAGTAGCAAGCCAAACACCTTCAAAGAAAGAATATGAGCAAACATGCGGGAAGCCATGGTCTCCAGCCTAATAGCGATGGCCTCCAACCTAATAGCGATGGCCTCCACCCAAGTAGCGATGGCCTCCACCCTAGTAGCGATGGCCGAGCAAGCATGCGATAAGTGAATTCACATCACCAACCTGCCTCATTGCGATGAACATTCTCACCACCCGCATTGGCCGAGGCCAGGAGAGCTTCGTTTGCGTTGCTGGTTCCATATTTGTACGCGAAATGAAGCCTTGCAAGAAAGAAAGCTAACAAAGGACACTGTCTGCTATCCAGCCTCCGGAATCATAAACTCTCATTCCACGAACAACTAACAGTGATCATGCGAATCAACATCCGTTGACACAGGCACAAGGATCTTGCAAGACCTTGCTGGAGATTACACTGTCCATTAAAGTCATATCCCTCGCACTGCCACTCTCTTTTCACCCTCCGCATCTCCACAGCGCAGCGAAACACAGAGCCTGGAAAAATCCACACACATGTGTTTGCCGTGTGTGGAAAGTGGGCCTTACGCGCATAGCAGAAAGAAGGAAAGACTGAAAGCTACTGACCACTTTCCTGCCTGCTGAGGAGCTGTCCGGCTGAGAGGTGAAAACAGCTCCAGCATGAGCAAGGGGAAGGGGTGATCCGTCGATCCTCAGCTTCGACTGGACTCCAAAAGCAAAAGATCAAATCTCGTTGACTCATGGAGGACACCGAAGAACAGAACCAACCTGTTGGAGCTGGAGTGCTCCTAAGTCTGACCAAGCTCAATGCACATGTTCCAAGTTTCCGGGGGTTGTTGCTTGGATTTGAGTGCAGCTTCCAGGCGAAGATGGCAATCAGCTCGAAATTTAGCCTCGTGGATTCAAATCAAACCAACAACATCCCTATGTATGTGTATGTGTAGGTGAACATATATGGGTAGACTTGTGCATCTTTTGCAAGTTCATATGCACGAGCCTCTTGCTCCTTTGCAATGCCCGCAACTGCATCTTCCAGTGGCACAGCTTTGGCCACGTATAGCGCTTGCAGCGCCAGTGTTGGGCAGCCACCAAGCCTTAAACGTTGGAAAACTGTGGACTGTGCGTGAAATACCTTCCACGATTTGAGGAACCGAAAGAAACACACAGCCACCATCTTGCAAGTGAGGAGCCAGTTTGAGATGCCAAAAAGTGTGCGATTTGCTTTCACCACTTCTATATTGCCGAGGTCGCCAGCTGCCGCCTGCTCCCCGCTGGAGCGGTACTTGGCCTTTCTGCATCGACTGGCCACCCGTCCCACGTCCCAAACATGTCAAACATGGCTGCAGACCAAGGGGCAAAAGCCACCCGCAGCACAGCTTCACATCTCACTGCGCTTCCTTCACAATATGGTAGAACCTCCTGCTCAATCAACAAAAATGACTGACGCCCACTTCGAAGAGTCTGATGACAGGTGCTGGACACGAGTAAAGTTACGCCCAGGACGCTTTGGCATCGGTTTTGGCGATGGGATGACAGAGATTCTTTGGCGTTGGGGCACGTTCCTTCTAAATGCAGTTTTTAAGTTCAACAATAATCAAACCATGCGTCCTGGTAATTACTAAAGATATCTAAAGATTCACTGACACAGTCGCGTCGCCTGAATGTCAGTCCAGGAGAAGCCACGAGATACCAACTGGCGCGTTGCCTCGCACTGACGCTTCTGCATGTCATGCTCAAGCTGTTCATTGCGGCGGTTTAACCTCAGCTTCTCGTGAAAAGTATGGTCTTCCTTCTGACGTGAGTAAAACACAACTTCTCAGAGCATCGAACAGGTTGACACCATATATCTTCAATTGAAGACTTCTCATGACTTCTGCTGTCTTCACTCCAAGTTGCTCCGCCTCTGCAAATGAAAGCAGTTGGCGTCGCCGGCGTGCACTTCCCAACCGAAGGCATCGCCGTGATTCATGTGTTTCATCATGCTTAAGCAGCGCCAGCAGTTCGGCATCAATTGTGGCCAAGGATCGAACAGCTTCCTCTTCATCTTGTTGCTTCAAAGCACGTGCCAAATGCCAGTCAGATGGAAAGCCGTGGCATGGGATGCAAAGAAGGTCTGACAAACCAGGTCCATCTTGCCAATGAACCGGCACTGCAGGGTCATGATCCTTTGGCAAATAACATATAGTGCCCAGCTGAGTCCCAAAATTTGCCTCATCTACTGTGAAAAAACACGATCCAGATGCACCAGGTGCCAGCAGCTTGGAGAACTCAGAGTGCACTTCTCGAGACGTACCTTGCGCCGCCACAGAGGCACATCTTCTCAGATTGATCCGGAAGCACGCATTCAGAGACAACAACCAGAGGAAGTTTCGATCCTGAAAACTGGGATCCTGGATGGACAGCAGCGTCCCACGCCGTGGATCGCGTGCACCACCGCTCTCTGGGGAACAAACCGGAAGGACCGGCCCCATGCGATTGGTAAACTCTTTTGGGTGCTCTCTTGCGTGGAAGAGAACTCCAAGATCAACGCCGTTGGAACTCATAGCATGGGAGAAAAGGACCATATGCCCTTAGATGCACATGTAGCACCTGCGGAATCCGACTAGAAGATTCTGGTCACCACCTTGTGCTAGCAGCTAGCACTTGACGCCAATTTTGACGAGATCTGCTCTGGCTATCAGGATTGAGAGATTTCTGATGCATATTGATGTCTTATTTCTCATATCCAAGGCAAGGGGATGCGTGGAACAATAAAAATACCATAAGCTGCCATGCCAAAACACCATGGTAGAGGTCCCATCCTGAGTCGGTGGGACAAGAAAACGGAAACATTCCGCACTCGCTTTGAGGGCTCTGAGATGGCCACCACACAGCTGAAGTCCAGCTGCCCTCGCCAGCTCGGCAAAGATCTGGGCCATGAAGGTCGCCACACCTGGAGATGCAAAGTGAAGAGCCAGGCTGGCTCCAACGTATGGCCTCAGCAACTCTCCAGCGGGTTTAAGCACAGGCGTAGGTGTCAAGTTGCCAAGTTCTAAGAAATCGCCCAAAAATCCTCCTGGAAGAGGCCAAGTGGCTCTTGCAGAGATGAAATGTTGGCCTCCTGTGCGTATAGCGTGTGGTCAGCAAAACCCCGTAGTTAAGGCAAATCAACACTAGTAATCGCAACCTGTCACATCGACGCAGGGAGACCACAAAAATTTGGACCGGAGCAATGTTACACCACATTGGACGCCGAAGCGGGCTCATTGGCAAGCAAACATTGATGCCATAGTGCGGATTGGCAACATGCATCATGGCATTGTGTCACCAGCCTAATTCGGACTGGGAAGGTGCATCAGGGTACATTGACAAACACGAACTGTTCTGTGCATCGTGCAGTCCTGTTAAATCTACAGCTGGAAGGCCATATGCCCTCCAAATTACCTACGAGACGTGCATCAAAAGCGGATTCTCTCATACATTGATCTGCCTCCGTCGTAGCGGGCTTCCTCCATCCCGCTGGATTTGCCAGGGCGTCCGTTGAGCTTCTGCTTTTGGAAACCAAGGGACTGGAGTAGGCCCTTGCACCGAGTATGTGCGATAGACACCATGTGAAATGCCTCGTTGCATGTGCACCCACGAGTTGTGAGCTGCTTTGCCTCGCAACAGCGCTACATTTGGGTCTCCCACACGCATCGGCACTGGAGGTGTCATTGGCATTGGTGGAGTTGAACAGGACATGTAGGTCCCGGGGTTAGCGGATGTCGTTGACAATGTTGATATTCCTTGTAACCTGCAAACCTCCAAGCTGTGAGGCTTCATGTACTCTTGCACACACATGCCCGGAGCTGGAGACCAGGTTTGTGGAGCTCGGGCTGGGCTGGGCACAGGCTGTGGAGCTGTGTTTTCATGTTTTTCAGTCTGCAGGATCTTCTCGGGAGTTTTCTCCGGAGACTTCTCCAAAGCCTTCTCTGGAGTCTTCTCCGGAGCCTTTTCCTTTTCGTCATCTTCCTTTTTCTTCTCCGGTTGCAAAGTGGGCGTGAAGTTGCAAGGTGTCAAAGCTGCACGAGGAGGTGCTGCTGGTGCTGTTGCATTAGACACACTTTCAGACTCTTTCTGATCGTTCTCTGGCCCTTGTGCTGGTGCCTCTAGTTTGTCTGGCTTTTCTTCAACGCGGATTCGAGCACTGAGGTACCCAGAATTTGGAGATCGTTCATCCGCCTCTGCAGGATGCGGGCTCAAGCGAAAGGACCCAAGACCAATGGGCACGACAGGTTGAGACCGCCAAGCCTGGCCGGGACTGGCTGTTGGACATTGGTGCGAACCACTCACTGGTGTCCCATTGTTTGTCTTTACAGCTTGAGCTTGGAGGATCTTGGTGTAGGTCTTGACCCAGGATGTAGGTGCTGCCACTGAAGCTTCGGACTCAGGACGAGGTTCTAGTACCTCGCGAAAGCTGGGAGGTACGGATCTTCCCACGGGAACACGTAAGCTACGTGCTGTCCAAGCTGGAGAGGCTACAGCAGCTACAGCTACATGCTGCGCATGCTGCTGCGCTTGCTGCCTTGCATCTGCATCTTGTGATGTTGCACGCAAGCGCTTTGCTGATGCACTCCTGCGAACCTCCGGGACGACCTGAGCGGCCTGAGATGTCTGAGGCGGCACCACACACTGCGGTGGCATTGTCTGAGGCCTGCATCTTGGTGCTCCCACCTTGCTTTGAATCAGCTCCAGGGTCTTTCGCACGTCACTGCCAGGTGAGAAATAAGCGTCATGAACGTGGGTTGGCTCGAACTTTGCCGGTGAATTTGGATTTGACGTTGCAACTCCTCAGTGCAGCCGGTGCAAGGCCAACTCATCATCTTTCAGCAAGGAGGCATATGATATGGCCACAATATGACAATTGTAAGGCCTCCCCTTCCAGTACAAACTGCTGGCTGAGCCTCGTGATCGCTCCGGGCTCCTGCAAACAGATTGCAAAAATTAGATACGGAACAATTTATCAGTAGCTTCTTGTTCCTAGTAGTAATGGCCTCCAACCTAATAGCGATGGCCTCCAACCTACTACTATAGTTCTTGTTCCCAGTGGTAACGCCATGAGCTACTAGTGAATGATTCTAAAACGTGTCAGTCATATCATATCTGTGTGGTTCGTCCTCCTACTTGCCTACAGGTTTGTGCGGTGCGAGAGGGCAACTTAAATAGCACACGCATTCAACATATTCCTACTAGACTATATGCATAACATGTTCCAATGTTGCTTCAAGAATGCATCAAATTGCTGCTTCTGCATCGTAATCTCCTCGCAGCCTCTGCATTTTGCAATCGGATGCCTGAGGCGTAGCTGGCAAGATTCACCCAGTCTAGGCGAGGAGTCTACGAGTGTCAGAGTCGAAACCTGGCTGAGGCGACAACCTCTCAAATAGTCTGGCAATGGAACCTTGGGGCTGCTTTTGCCACCTTTTCTCTGCTTTGCGAGCTGTCCCTGTCAAGGGCCAAGGCAAGGCAACACGACAAAATTCGCAAGTCAGTAAGGAACACATTCGGAGCCTTCAAGTATTCCATGGCTGCATCTGTTTCACACCTAAGTAGGGGCACGCCTAGAGTCTAAATCCTGTGACATGTCTCGAAAATTGAGAATTGCCCGTAAGGCAGCCGCCGAGGCTTTGCCTTTCGCACGGCGGGCTTGTTGTGCTGTTCCTTCAGGTACGTCATGGCGCAGTCCTCTGCATCCTCGCCATGTTGGGATGGTTTCACATGTTTCACCGATTCTCTGCACGAGATTCAAAAAGTGTGCAAGGCAGTCCTCTGGCCCCGCCATGGCTCTAAAAGAGCGAAGGATCAAGAAAAACTGCGCTCGCTCAAGAATGAGGTTGGTGTCATGTGGTATCCATCATGTCCACATCATTGTGTTATGTTGTGTTGTTGTTCGGGTTCTTAGGCTGCAACACACTGACATGGCAACTTTCGTGAAAATGTGCACGTCTTTTTGATGCTGGAAACGGTCACGGCGAGGTACTAGCTTCAAAATCTTCACTATGAGCAAGCCAAATCATTTTAGACACCTTCTTTCCAGATGAAAAGTTCTATATAAATCCAGTGAAGCTCTTCCTCTGCGAACAGCTCTGCAGCTGCATCTGTGGGATTACCCTCTGCAGCCAGTTCCAAATATGAGCACAGCTCCTGGCACGCACGAGTGCAAAATTGCCGCCGTTGTCTGACAATGATTCGGCCTTGGGAACCGGTTGATTGTGATGCACCAGCAAGCTCAACTCATCAGTTGCCTGCACATCAGGACTGATCTACGAATCCAAGGAGGCTGCAAGCTTTGAACGGGAAAACCCATGAAAGTTCTCTAGAAGGGCAACAGTGGCACCGTCTGCCCGCCTCTCCGGAATATGCGGAATCCAGCAGCTGTGCCGCGGCATTTGTCAAACGATGCCGCATTGCTTCAAGGACTTTGAACACAAAAAAAGTCCGCTGACGACAACCCAGGACATGCCATACGTGTGAACGCTTGCGAAGAGTTGCACTTGGACAACCTCCGTTGCAAAAGTACCGGCTCTATATCTTGTAGGGAGGACTCCAAGGTATGATAAGGACAAGGTATGTATAATATATATATATATATGTGTGTGTGAGAATATATATATATATATATCTACTTAATATTATGTATTTTAGATATTATACAGTATATTATATGTATGTAATTGTATGTATGTGCGACTGCCACACATGGCTGCTGCTGCAGGGCATCCTGTGCATCAGAACAAGTTTTGCTCAACCCCCTGAGCTCCACACAGTGCAGGGAACGAACCGCCAATGTAACATGCCACGACCTCAGAATGGTGAACTCGTAGCACTGGAAGTGAAGTGAAACAACCAAGGCCACGTTAAATTCTTAGAGGGATGAAACAAACGCAGGAAACGAACAACATTCGATGCTAGTGGCCGGATCATCTCGTGCGCGGACCGCATTCTTGAGGTCACTGCCATATGCCTGCCATTCTTGAAATTTTACCATACATCTTTAAGCACCTCTTGGCACTACAGTTCTTCCCGCATTGGCCTCTTGGGCAACTTGTGCCGCAGCATCATTGATCGGGGTCTTGTGCAGAATCTGGAAAGTGGGTTAGAAAAAGCATGGCAGAAGCTGCACACAATTGACTTGATGACGAAGGTGGCTCATCCGAGCCTTTGAAAGGAAGGTCGCCATAATGTGCAGGTATTGAGGCAGCACCTGGGATTTGACAGCCCATGTCCGCCATCACCCTCCACAAGGATCCCCTTCTCTGCGGTGTTGACTTTGCCCTCATGATGTCTCATGATGTCTCATGCCTCCACATCTAACCTCCATGCCATGATGTCTCATGCGGTTGAGGCACACTGGACGCACGCGTCACCGCTAGTGCCTCTGTCGCCTGTCTCGTGGCTTCTTCCACGCTCTCACCACGCGCCAAGGTTGCGAGGGCCACCACACTCGGAAGGACCAAGCCATCGATGGTGTCAACGTTGTGACCATCGTTGTCCGGACACTCTGCTGGTGGCACCCCAGATCTCCACTTTTCAAAGAACATTCGGTGACAGGTGGAGGCATATGTGTCATTGTGGCTCCCTGGAGTTGTCATGAATTTCACGTAGCGCTGGCGAAAGTCTTCTGCACTGAAGCGCCCCCCAGTGCTTGTAAGGCTATGCATCATCTCTCGGACCAGCATCGCTTCTAACGTATTTTCTCCTGCACTTAGGGTATGATGGTAGTGAAACTGGCCACCTCTTCTCCAATACTGTTTCTTGTCATGGAGGATGACCCCTCCCACCACATCTCCCTGGTCACTGCCCCGACCACCGCCACCAGTGTTGCTCAGTTGCATGATCGAATCAGGAAATGGATGGACAGATTTTTCGAACCTAGATAGGAGCTGTCCACCGAAGTCATGGCGGATTTGATCTGGGCCACCATAGTACCAGTGCCTCAGGAGAACGTAGTGCTGGGAAGCATCATTCGTACAGTCCAGCCACCAACCACATGAAAGCAAAGTGCATGAAATGATGCAATCCACAAATGCCTCTAGTGCTCTCCAACAAGACACACTGGCATGGCCAAAGCATCGCCGACAAAAAGGCCCCACAGCGCGCCAGCCACTCGGTCTGGCACTGACAAGTCGGGCGACCGAGATGTTGCTGGCGGCACTGATGCCCTGGCGGTGTACTTCAGGAGCAATAGCGCCTGCAGAAAAAGTGAGAGATCGCAGCTTGGACGTGTTAAATCACGTGAGAAATGGCCAAGCTCGGCACAGTCAAGCCCCACACTTGACATCGCATCCCCATGGCTGGGCACCACGTGAAGAACTAAGCTATGATCGGATATAAGAAAACACAAAACACAAATAGAATGTCCTCAAAGCAGCACTGCTAGTTTGTTGCACTTTTGAGCCCTGGCGTTTGTCGCACTCACAATGCAAGTACTTACATTAATGTACAATTTGTTTGCTCGACTTGGCTGCATGATTGCTGCTACACGCTTGATGCATCAAAGCCGCAGCCAAAAGGTGACAAGCAAGTGCAGCTGCACACCATTGAAAGGAATCTGAGCCCCAGGCAAATGAAAAGCCTGTCTTTGGTCAAACCTTCCGAAAATCTTAATGCGCACTTGCCTCAGGTGTCATCATAGCCAGTGAAGCACGGCCAAAGCACAAGACTTATATATATATATATACACACATGTTACAAGGTGAACAACATGGTGCAGATCCAAGAAGCTGAAGTTGAACCTGGCACTGCATCAGCATCCAAGCAGTCTGTATTGTTTGCTAAACCATGTGATTCTGACATTTGCGATTGCGTTCCAATCACTAGGCCGCCAGCTCCTCTAAGAGAGTCAAACCTCATGATCAATGAGAGATCTATAGAGTCTTGAGATGTCTTGAAGTTCACGGGAATAGGACAGAAGTGGAGTCACGTGTTTCCAAGCACAACACCTGCCGTGAGCTAAATCGTAGGCGCCTGACTCTGGACAGGTGCCTGAATCTGCGATCGCGGATCAGCTCTGCAACTTCGGGCAAAAACCTAACGGGGCTCAGCTGGCACAAGCTGAGCAAATGACCTAACGGTCCAAACGGGCCCCAAGAGTGACAACATGTCTGCCTCGGAGATGTTGAAGTGTGGCCTTCCCAAGAGTTCCCACTCGAGCATGGTTGATCCATCTCATTGCGCCGTAAACAACTCGCCTCATTTGAGCTTGATGCAGCCCTTCCTCCACCTGACAAAATCACAAAGCCCTTGTGCTGACACTCTCTCTTGCTCTGGCACCCAGACCTTCCAGCCAATTCGGCAAAAATTCCTTGAGCGTCCAAAACTCACATGTGTGAAACTACAACAGCATCATTCACACTGCCGCCAAAGTTTGGAGCGAGTTTCGAAATGTTCAAAGTCTGCTTCTTTCCGAAGACTTCTGAGATGTAGCGATTGAAGGCATCCCAGGCCTTCGCTGAAAGTAGCCAACTGCTAGTAGGAATGAAATTTCCCGGACAGCATTGGCCCTTCGCTGCTCTACTTGCACGATTTCATACCTTCCCATATTCACACTCACTTCCAACCTGAGGCAATTCATCAGCGCTTCGCTTTGCGAATGCTTGCTGATAGCTTGCCGCATCTGCCAGTAGGTGCTCAGCCTTGAACAAATGATGCAAAAAGCCTGGCCGCCTGGAACAAATGGTCCAACATGCACTGGGCACTGGACCGTGTACATTCGCAGGGCCACGGCAGTGTTTGCCACGCGGCCAAAGGAGCGACATCTGCACTGCTGGAGCCGAAACACAAATTTTCAAGTCAAGCGCCACCATGGACTGCACCATGGACCCCAAGCCCCCTTCCTGGCCCATGTGCTGCTGATCCCTTCCAAGCTGGCCCTCTTTTCCCGGCATTTCAAGCAGAGCTGGTGGGAGGGGAGTGCCTTGCTTGCACTCCCCTGTTTAACTTGGAGGTCGGGCCTCTTCTCTGCATGGTGTGGTGTCTGCCGTCTAAAGACGGTCACATATGTCTGCTAACTTTGCCTGCATTGTGTGAAGAAAATGTTCCTTCATGGTCTTCAGACGAAGACAGATTCTGCCGGCTTGAAAGGGACCCCATGGACTTGGGCTGTCCGAGCTCCCTCGCTCACTATCTCCTGACAAGTCATCCAACCCAAATTCACGAAGACACGCCATGCTCAGAAACGAATACATTCTGTGCACCTCATGAGGATGCGCTTTTGTGACTTTTTGCTCTTTTTCTCTTCTCACCTCATCATGCTCGGAAAAGAAGCAAGTCAGCAAGGTCAAATGGCCGCAGCGCCCGGCAACTCCTGTTCAATCTCAGTCTAAGAACAAGACCTTTCTTGCTTTTTTTCTTACCTCAGATGCGGGTTCTTTGCGCTCCCTTGGGACCAAGCTGCTTAGCTCCTTAGCTCTTCGCGCACTCCTTCTTCCGCATCTTCATGTTCATCCTCTTTGTGTTTTTTCCTTGGTTCAATTTACAAGACTATCAACGAGCCCCAAACAAAGAAAGCTCTGAGACCCATGCTTTCTGCTTTTCTTGGCCTGTTGGTGCTCAGCAATCGCCAAAACAAACGGCTAGCGGCTAGTGTGTCAGGTCATGGACGAGCAAATGTTGCAAACATGGCACCTTGTCTTTATCTTTCTTCTTTTTCTTCTTGTGGCCTTGCAACAGCGGCGAAGCCCAACCAAAATTGCCACCCTCACTCCGCGTGTGCCCATTGCTCCAAGCCTACACCATCAAGGTGCTCGACAAAAATGTCGAAGCACTCCTTGCGGGTCTTCGCATCAACTGCCTCGCGAGTCATAGGCAAGCTTGTAAGAATTGATATTCCAAAACATCGCACCTTCCAAGCTGGCTTCTTGCTGAGCAAAGACTCTGCTTCCTCTCATGTCAAGTTGTCATACAAGTCACCTTGCGCAAGCAGCCATTGGCCTCGTATGTAGTCCTGACGGAGATTGCCTTTGTCCTAAGTCGCACGCTGCACAACGAAATGGTCCGAGATCTCATGAAGTGATATGTCTCCGTTTCTATACAGTAGCATTCTTTGTGAGGATGGTGTCTCAAGCCAATGGAAAAGAACACGCTCATGCTAGGTGCAGAACTTCATCAAAAGATCGACAAACCTTTCGCGTGGAGGGCACATGCCAAAATGAATACAGTAATTGAAGCTGGGTTTGCCAATGGCGCTGAGCCACGCTTCCCTTGACTCCCCGTCATCTCTATCTCCTCAGCCACCAACGTCCGTTGGCACGCAAAACAACACCGCCAAGGCCAGACAAGTCTGGGGAGCGCGCCATCCTCTTCTTCTTCGTCCTTATCTTCTTCCTCCTCCTTTTCCTCTTTGTCTTCCTTTTCTTCATCTTTATCCTCTTTGTCTCCATTTTCCGACCTCGCTTGGCGAGGCATCCTTTGCCGCAATGTCCAGCAATCACTGAGCACAAGGCTTTCTTCGCAGATCGGGCCCTCCGCCTGCATCACCATCTGCTTGCCTGCAGCGACTCCAGGGCCAGGCTCTACAACTCATGCACAGGGAATTGCAAAATCTTTGTGCTCACAGGTGTCACCTTAGATGCAAATTGCAGAACCTTCATGCACCCTTTCCGCTTCGGCGACATTGTGTCATGCAGATCTTTATGGTGGCAGTGGCGCAAGAGCGCCGAACGTGCCGACATTTGTGATGAACCACCCTCTCTCAAACGTTCTTGAGATGTAGCATGATGTAGCTAAAGTCTGCACTCTTTATCGCACAGCATCTGGGCCCTCTCCAAAGCCTTTCCCCACTGCTCTCAGCCGTACCCGGAATTCGGATATTGCATCACTGGCAGCAGCTCAACGGGCTCTGCTAGATTCCCAGACAACTGCGCCGTTAAACCTTTGTTGCACTTCATATCGCTCACTAGTATCAACACAGGTGACTATTGAACACTGCGAAAACTCCTGGCATCAAGCTGAATATCGTCACATGGCAATAGATCGAGGCTATGACAGCTACGGGCTTCAAGCAACCCAAAACCGGACGTGGAAAACACTTGCGGCTGCAGAGCCGTGGAAGTGGCAAAGAAGCCAACTATGTATGTTCGAAACTTGTAGATGGCAATAAGCATCTGGCAAGCAGCCGCATATCGTGCACATGCTAGAGCTCACCCTGCATTCTGAAGCCCTTCTGTCGAAGCAACTCGGGAATCTGACCTTTGCGCAGTTGTGAAGTTCTGACATGGGCATGTGGATTCTTGAACCCTTCTCGTGAGCACACCATACATGTGCACAGCATACGTGATTGAGGCGGGGACTGTATGAGTATTGCGTGAGGTCTATTCTCTCCTCACGGCACAGGTATCATCAACCAACAATGTACATAATAATGATGATGTTTGGTTCCGTTTGGAGTTTGGATTGCAAGCCCGCACCTTCTCATTTCCATTTTCAATGACCACAAGGTCAGGATTGTGCCCTTGGATCCACCGAACCTGACGCATCTTTCTCTGGCAAACAACTTCAGAACCAACAATTCCCTGGAGTTTTTTCAGGCATCCTGGCCCTGGCCTCAAGATTTTGCCATTCCTTCCAGCGTTGCTCTTCTTTCAGCCAACGTCGTACGTCAGTGAAATGATTCAACTTTCAGCCTCATTCGCTGGAATCCGGAAACCCCGCACATGGTTTGCATCCCGAGCTCCCAGGAAGATTTCGCTTCCCATGCAACCAGATCAATAAAATTCAATAAACACTCAACTCCATGTGAAAGATCTCACCTAGAACCCCCAGAAGCCCTTCTTTGTGGAAGAGCTGAGCATCGTGCCCTGGCAGGACATAATCATGCCTCAGTCGGCGTGCGCTTCAAGCTCAAGAAATATCCTTGCTCAATCAGCCCATGCCAAACACCCAAAAGACGCAAGCGTTCTGGCAAATTTGGCCTAGTGCAATTGATTAATGGCTTCTAGACTAATCAAGAGACAGGCTGCCCTTTGATGCTGGCTTTGATTGAGCTGCCACATCTAGCATTGTGCAGCCTCTCTCTTCGCAGTGCCCGTCCTGAGAAAATCGGCAAAGCATAGCCAAACCCACAAGCATTCCTTGAACAACTCTGACCTAATTACTACATATTACTACAGTAGTGTTCTTCGCATCTTTGCATGCCAAGCTAATCCTTCAAGTTTCCAACCTTCTTTTCTGCCAAGGGGCGGCATCACACGCCTTTGCCATGCAAACTTTGCCATCTTCACTCCTCGCCTGGGAGGACGGACGAGAAACAAGACGTTGAAAGCATCGAAAGCGCAGCATCCTGTAAGGTCATGCGGGCCTTGGCCTCTGCCAAGCTGAAGCTGAGGATGAGAGCAAGGGCCTTAGATGTGGCCCATGCAAATGTTGCAAGGCCTTCTCTCTCTCTCTCTCTCTCCCCACAAGCCATTTCACACACCCCTCACCTCTCCTCCAAACAAACACCTGTTGCCTCATATTCCTGCCAAGGCTCTCCCACTTTGAGAGTCCTTACTGCCATGGCTCCAATCCTTCTTGAGCCAAATGGCTGAGTTTTGGCTATGGAAGCAACACGGTTGTTTCGTTGCATCTGGAGACAATGCTCAGCTTCTGGCCCATCACGCTTTGGTGGTGCCTTGGGATAGGTTGGATTACATCGGATGCCACCAGAACCAGCATGGCCAAGCAAGTTCATTCCAAAGTACTCCCACATCTGGCTCGTCAAAGCTAAGCTTCAGCCAGGCCTTAGGAGTCTAGCTGCCAACTGGTGTGCAGAATTGCCGGAGTCTTTATGAGTTGAAAAGGAAATGCCAAAATGAGCTTTATCAAGATACAAACTGGATCTAAACTTAATCTAGGCTATGTCTCCGATCTGGCTTCATTGAAAAGAGAGATGAAAGGAGACTCTCTGGTAGCCGCATGAGCTGCAGACCCGGTCTTCCGGGGTCTGGTTGAGCTTCAGCTGCAAAGGGACCTCGAGAGTCAACGCTGTCGGCCTTGAGCTGCTCAAGTCTCCATGTGCAAAGCAGGCGACATCCTTCCGCACCTTTTTCCCCAGTAGGCGCACAGCGGCCGTTTAACATGTTCATGAGATTGATCCGAGCTAAACAGGTCATTTTGGGCCATTTTAGCCTCAAATGACATGGAAATCGGCGCTTGCCCCGGCTCACTCTTTGGGTTCTTTCTGAACTGGCTCGCCATTCGCCTGCAAGTGATCTCGTGGACACCTCTGAACACCGGTTGAACCAGGCTTGACTGGTCCAAGAGGATGCTTCATGCTTTCTTACAAGTTCCTCATTTCGTATCATTTTCTGTAAACTGTGCGTTTGGAACATCGGTTCAGAGCGGCTGCCTGGACTTCCATGCCTTGATCGTTCACTTCAATCCTCAATGCTCAAAAGTAGTTACTCAAATAGAAACTGAAAATAGAAATAGAAGAATAGGAAATGGGAATGTCTCCCACATATGCGGGCGGGCGGCAGTGCTTCGGGCCCTCCCTTCTGGACCAAATACCTCACCGCAATTTGAGGATCTGACACAAAGGCAAAGTGCCATCGTCATTATCAATCTTGACACAGAAAGCAAGCAAAGCAAAGCAATCACCACAAAATAGGAAAGCCAAAAGACGTGTATGTATAGAGAATATGTAAAAGGGTGAGAGCCTGCAATCAATCCCCAAACAGGCAACTAGATGCAAAAGCCCATCCGCCCGATCAAACGTTCCCCACCCCTCAAGGTGGGGTGCTCTTCATCCTATATAAATCACCTTTGTAGAGAAGCAAGCCAATGAAGAACAAGGACAACACTGACACAAAAGCAGACCGGGCAAAAGCCTCTTTGACATGGCCTTGCGGAAAATGTTTGTCTGTCCTTTCTTGCTTGGTATGCATTGTCAACAAATTCTTTGAACTTCCAGCCTGCTTCTGCACTAGGTTACAATAGCAATCATACTAAGCTACCAAAACCAAACATGGAAGTGGACCTCGTCTCTCTTTGGGAGAGTACCCTGAAAGGGCTGTACACACGGCCACATTGAGCAAGAACCCGTCGGGTTCACTGTTCTAAGGACTATATAGGTGATGGAAGCGAAATGAGAAACTTCCAAGGCCCAGGGCACATGGAACCGCCCATTACTTGCCCACTTATATATATATATAATATATCCCCTATAGTAGCTTTTTGTTCCTAGTAGTAAGGCTAGGAGCCCCTAGTAGCGTCCTCGCTCCTAGTAGTGATGCCAGGAGCCCCTAGTAGCTTCTTTTATATAATTTATATATGTTTAGCCGTTTAGCCCAGCTGCACATGATAATTCTCCGCATCTGCCTCCTTGCAATCTGTTTGACTCTTGGGTACACAATCGCAGGCACCATCCACGACGCCAAAGTCAAAGTAGTTGCCACATGACTCGTCGGCTAACACGTACCTCAAAAAGTATACAATGGAGTGGGCCAGTCGCAACTCTTGGAGCAAGTCTACACGAGTCTTTGAACCAAGGCTCTCAAAGCACGCTTTTGTCTGGTAATTCCCCACATTCTTCTTGTAACCAGCATTGGCATTGGCCTAAAATCTGAAGGCGTGGCGCTTCAGGAAACCAACCATATGGGTCCTGACTTCCAGCCAGGAAGCACAATACTTGTTGCTGGAGACCAGGGTAAAGTAGAAAGTTGTGCCCGAGGTTGTCCGAGTCGGCTCAGCTCTAGAGACAAGGCTGGCATCCCTCCTGCAAGGGTCTCTGAATATGAATGGGCAACAGCCCCAAGTCACCATGCCCAGCCTGTTCCTTCTGTGGAATTGCGTGCGTCTTTCTGTGCTCTGCTGCGTCGCCTGTGGGCAAAAGCAATTTGGCTGCCACTATAACATTGTGAGCATCCAAGAACACACTCTACAAACAGCCTGCCTCATGTGAGCCCGCTCCACCTTCAAAGCTCAAGGAAGGACTACAGACCCCACAGTTTGAAATCGAGCATTCCCCACTGCGTGCGTACTGGCATCTGTGTAAAAGCGGAGTACAGAGTGCATAGTTTGGGCTGGCCTACACAAGACCAAAAGAAGTACAGTATCTAACTTCACATGCACACATCGTCAGTTGAGGGGTGGCTAGGTAGCTCCAGCCTCACCAGTCCTAATGAAGGATATATCGTAAACTGGCACTTGGAAATACTACTAGCTTCTCCCTGACATGGTCAGCTCCAACCACTCCGCAGTAATTACTCTTCGATCGCCTGCTTCTGCTTCGCTCTCAGCTGGCTCTGGCACTGCACTGTTTCCTTCTTGCATCCCGGTCCCAGCTGTGCTGTCCTCTGTGCTGGCAGCAGTGCTTTCAGCTGCACTATCAACCGTGCTGCCACCAGTGCCGTCGGCTGTGTTGTCTGCAGGGTTCGGGATGGCGCTGCTGCCATCAGCCGTGCTGTCTGCAGGACTATCAGCCGCTCCTCCACCGGTGTTGGCGATGTTGTCTGCAGGACTAGCGGCTGTTCCTCCGCCCGCGCTGTCAGCCACGCTGTCTGCAGGACTGTTGATAGCCATTCCTCCACCAGCGTTGGCAGTGCTGTCTGCGGGACTGTTGGCTGTTCCTCCGCCATTGCTGTCGTCTGTCCTGTCTGTGGGGCTGCTGGCTGTGTCTCCACCACCGCCGGAAGTGCCATCTGTAGGACTGCTGTCACTAGCACTGTCGGGTGTGCTGTCTGTTGGACTACTCCCAGCAGTGCTGGAAGCCTTGCCATCCACCCCAATGCTAGCCGTGCGATCAGCTGCATTGTCAGCTGCGCTGTCTGTGCTGCTGTCGTCCGTGCTGCCAGCCGTGTTGCCTGCTGTGCTGCCACCCGCAGTCTCCACATCTGCTGGCTCAGTTGAATCCGAAGTGCCCTCTGCATGTTCCGTCTCGTCCTCTTGACCAGCAGTTGGTGCAAGAGCTTCGTCTTCTTCGTCCTGGGTCTTTGTGCTGTTGGCAGCCTTCAACTCCTGAGACTTCGGCCGCGTTCATGCGGTGGGTCAAGGAAGAAACCATCTCTTGCCTTTGTCATCGCAGCCATCAATTACTGTCATAAGGTAACACGAGGGCCACTGGATTCAAATGGGGTTGTCATGTTGCATAGCCCTGTGAATCCTAACAGCCGGAGCCAGAGCCCACACTATGTCATTGTGTGTGTATCACTCCCGTCTGGTCAAGACCTGGCCAGCCATGGCCGCGGAGGGCTTGCAAACAAGCAGCAGCACGCTTCCTCAAGAAGGCACTGCCCGAAGGCTCTTCCATTTCCTCCTCATCTGCCTCACCAGGAACGATGGTAAACACAGCCCTCTTAAGCAGATAATTAACGTCCTTGGCATGCCTCACGTGCCATGTAATCCTCCCGCTCTCTTCGCATCATCGCCTAGACCACGGCTGAGAAGCAGAGAGAGAGAGAGAGAGAGCAAAGGCACAGCACGCTGCAGGAAACAGTTCAACCACCTATGCCAACCGTGCTCAGCATTAAGCTCCTTCCATACTCCGACCTTCACGGAGCCATCTGCTCGAACCTCTGCCTTGCTCCCCTCTTTCCTCAGTCGCACAGAGGCAAAAACGCTTTAAAGACCAAAAACCATTGCAAGGAGCACAGACGCTACTAGGCGCTCCTGGCATCACTACTAGGAGCAAGGACGCTACTAGGGGCTTACTAGGGGCTCCTGGCCTTACTAGGAGCATCAGCCCAACTAGCCCAAGATTGGCTTTCCGGTCCAAGACTCGAGGCATCAAAAACGTTGATTTCCACTGTACCTGCTAGCGTCCCAAGGGCCACCATCCAGATTTGAGTCCAGGCGTGCATCTTCCTGGGGCCTCAGCCAAGCGTCTTGCGGCTCGGGAAGAATCAAGCCTTTAGATGCTCAAATAAACATTCGCTCCAACTGCGCCAGGGCACAAGCTCCCAAGGAGTTTAGATGAATGAGGATTTCCTAACTCACGACACTTGCTTCTGCCCTTCAAGGCCCACGGTCTGATTACAATGGCCGCAGAAATCACTGGCATATTCCACGCACAAATCCGCACACGTGCTCGTTCAATATGAGACTGTTTCATTGTTTGTGGCCATGTGCACACGTGCACGAAACCCTTCCACAAGTCCTGCAACCCTTCACTTTGAGAAAACCTGCATGTGCAAGACTGCAAGACTGCATGGGCTTAGGTTTGAACCAGGATCTGCATGTCATGGTACAAAGGCAAATCCTGCGAAGCCACAAGCGAAACGTTGGCAGCGTGTGCTCAGTTTGGACCTTTACATGAAGGCTTGGACCAAAGCAAATCTGCCCACTTGAATGAAAAGTCTCAACTCATCTGCTATTAACGTTGGAAGAATCTTCCTGATCCTTCTTTGCACCAACCTCGGAATGGCGCATGCGCTGAGAATGCCCTGACCAACATCGCTAAGGCTTAAGGGCACTACTGCTGGCGTGTCGCCAAGCTTGAGGCCTGTCCCGTTCATGGACAGATCTCGGACCTAGCCATGCTGGAAAGGAAAACGGGCAATTGGAGCCAATGACACCAAGCTCCACACCACTAATCGAGGGGGAAGGCCTTCCTCCTGTGCAAGGAAAACCGAAGCCAACATCCAAGTTTGAGCGCATGATCCTTCAGGCCTTTGGCACCAAACACGTGCATTGTATCAGTGCGATAGTTTCGGTATTTCAGACCACCCTGGATGAAACGAAGGAATGCACGTCCAGCTCAAGAGTCGAGTGCGGCTCGGTGTTTTCTGATCTGAACTTTACGCTGTGAGGTTCACGTGCAACTCTCTGTACAAATACAAGCCAGGCAATGCAACATTAATGGAGCACTGCAGCGATTAGACAGTCCCAATGCATAGTCGATGAAACTTTTGCAGATCAAACATTAAAGTCAAACTCGTGTCAAAGTCTTTGGAAGGTGTGCGGTGTCATCACTGATCTACTGTAGATTCTAGATGGAAGATCTGCACCTAGGTGTGCCATGAAGACCGGCCCGCTGTGCCTCAGTAGAGATAGATCCCATAGGCTGTGGCAACACAAAAGAGGCTCTCATTGCTGAAGGTCTCCGAGGCATAGCTATCAGTGTCTCCATCCCAGAAACATCTCGTGCCCATGCGAACTCCTTGACCTTTCTGCTCACCAATTGAGACCTGCACCACAATCTTGTAGCGAGGTAGGTTCAACTCCTTAAGTCTGTCTTTGATATCATCGGCCACCTGCTTTGTGAGCAGCTGTGTCGTCTCCATGCTGTAGGTCGCCTTGTCGAGCTTACTCTGCAGCACATCTCTGATGATTTCCTTGGTGGGGCCTGGGCGAAATTTGTTCTTGTACTCTGGGTGGATGACATACGTGTTTTCGTCACCCTTCTTCTTGTCCATTGCCATGCTGTTGGCACCGCGGCAACACTTACCCTATCTACTTGATTGAGCAAGCTGCGAGATCAAAATGCCGTGTTGAGGGTGTGTAGGAGACTCAGCACATTATTGCGTTATACGTCTGCAAACCGTTTCTACGGTAACAGTCCCACCCAACAGTGTTCTGTTCATCTGCTTCATCTGCAGCCGTCCCCTCACCTCAGAGGGCAGCAACCGGATCTCTGCATGGAACTGCCTTAGATTTGCAACTCCAAAGCCCAATCAACACACCGTGACTGCACTTGGACCCAGAAAAAGGTGAAAAACTAATGTGAACTCAAAGCAGGTTGCGAGCACCCTCGCAGCTCCACTTGGATATCATTTCCTGGAGCTCTGCCTGACAATCGGTGTGCCAGCAACTGCGCCGAAACATGTTACGGAAACAACTTCCGGGGAAGATTCTCTTTCAGGCGTTTTGAGAATTCTCGCTCATACAGCCACCAGCTTTTTGGAAGCACTTGAAGGCTTGAAACTCGAACATTCCACTTGAACCTATCTCAACTGGCCACTGGCTCACTTCTGGTACGCCAGCAGTTCGAGGCACCAACCCTGACAAGGTGTGCGGCAAGGAAAGGTGGAGACTGAAATTGGTTGATTGGACTTTGTTGCTTCTGGTATCTTCAGGCCTATGCGGTCTACAGCAGCTTCTGGCGCCGCTTTTGCCCAGGTTTGGCAGCTTCTAGCAAGAGCTGCATCCTTGGCGGCGCTGCGACTGCGAGCACTGTGGCAAGTGACGCTCTTGCCCAAATTTTGGCCGAGCGGCTTTCCTCTGCAAGCTGCAACCTGAGCCAAGCCCAACATTTGTCAAAAACAGCTGAGTGCACAGAAAGCTGAGCTTGGCAACCGCAGTCTTGAACGACGAGACGTCGGGATTAATGTCCTGACAGCCGTAGGAGTGCACATCAAGCTCGACCTGCACACATGAAAAACAGTGCTGGACAACAAGTCCTTCTGCATCATGTCTTCGTGCAGCTGCAAGCTGTACAAGTAGTGCCTGCGTTCCACTGAATTTCCGAGCAATGGAAAACGTTTTCCCAGTTAGCCACCCGCGCTGCCTGGCTCGATTGCAAGTAGTGGAAACAGCACCATATGTGACGACATCAGGCTGCACCTGTTGCGTGCGGCTTGGAGAAAGAACATGCCAGCGGAATGGATGACACCCCACCTGCTTTCCAGGCATTTCATGCAAGAGCTGCAAGGCTCTCCGCCACTCACCTTCCTTTGCAAAGGATGTGATGACTTTGTTGTAGAGGCTCACCATGTTCACCGCCGTAGCCTTGGCCAAAGTTGGCACAAAAGTTTCACGTTGAATCACATGTCCCGCAAAGGCGCGCGTTTATGCGTTTCCTCCTCATGAGTTCCTCCATCACCTCGATTGATACAACAGAACGGTAACCAGCATGAGGCTGAACATAAAGTGTGCAAGAGTCGCCCCATAAGGAGGCCAAAGGAAAATCAAATGAAAGCACTGCAGCGGTTCTGATCTAAGAAGCTCCGGTTCTTCGCTCAGCAGGGGTGCTTCGCTCGGCCTCCTCCAAAGACCAAAGAGCTGGCTTCCACCTCAAACATATCTCATGTATCTACTATTAGGCTCCTGGCATCGCTACTAGGAGCAAAGGACGTTACTAGTTTCAGGCGAGTCATGAAATGCGAAGACCATCAATCCGGCTGCGAGGCACTGAAGGTGACTACGTGAGGCATCATCTAGCCACACGACACTGGAGGACACCGAAGCCGCCAAGCCGCTGCTTTGCATTGGAGTACGTCGTGACCAGCGATGCATGTGTTGCTTGCTGTACGGGAAGGTATCGGGCCTCTCAAAAGAATCCATTACAACACTTAAGAAAACCATAAAAGGCCACTAACAAATTATGACAACTTAAGAGCACAAGAAATGAAACCAACCACATCCTCTCACTCACATGACAGGTTGAACAATTGCTGCACAAACATCTCTTGACACTACTATCTTAATGCGGCAACCATGTCAAAAGTACTACATTTGCCTTCGGAGACAGAAATCTTCAATAACAAGTCCCCAGGGGAATAGCGGCAAGACCAAAAACAAAAGCAACAGCGAGCAAACTACCACTGACAGACAAATTATACTTCTTGCTCCGGGAGTCTTTGCCAAATTACACTTTTCAGTGTCAGGCCAAATTGCATTAAACTCTTTGTAGACTGTAACTAAGTAGTTCCCAAAAGCTGCAAGCATCATCTCGCCTTCATTGAGCATTCGGAATTACAGCTACAAGTGCTTGTGCTACCTTGAATCTCAAAAGCTGTTGCTCTGTCAAGCAGCCTGCATCTGCTCCACGAGTTCCTCAGATTCTTTCACATCTCCAGCTAAGCCGAGTCAAATGTTATGCTCTCCCTCTCTCCCACTCTTTCTCTCCGCTCTCTCGGCTACCGCTCTGTTTCAGAAGTGACAAGAGGCCACAGACCATTGCCATTCACCACATTGGGCACATGCCTTCAGTGCTTCCTCAAAGCTGTAAGGATCCTCTGGAATCTCCTGGCGAAGCTGGGCTGGCTGCACAGGGCTCCTTTCATCAAAGCCCCTTGAAGCAAAGCAAGGTCACATCTCTCCTCGAGCAAGAGCAAAGCGTGCCTCCAATCACCAGCCTGTCGAAATGCACCTGGAGATTCCAAACAAGTCCCAAAAGCTACACATCTGGCTTTGCCAGCTCAGGCCCTGGCGCATGCAATTCTGACAGAGACGACGAAAGGATGAACTCCTGTACAGAGTCAGAGACGCGTCGTGGGGGGAAATGATGCAAATTATGAATGAAGTGCAGTTGACTGCTCGCATTCCTCAAGCCTTGGATTCCAATGCATACGAGGCGCTCAACCTCACTGGTGCCCAACTCCTGACAAGCAAAACACTAGTCACACAAATGGCCTATTGGGGCAGCTGCGAATTGAGACTGCTGCACACCTCAATTTTGCTGGTTCACGGGGATTTTTGATAACATGAAGGACAGTCTAGACTAAACCCATTCTACAACGGGGAGCATCAGGCCCTCCCTAAAGTGTTCACTCAGCCCTGTAGATCAGTCAGATTTTGCATTCCCGACCTGCGCTTCGAGCAAAAGACGCAATGCATCTTCGGGATATCCGGCCCTGAAGCGACCGAAGTCGAAGTGAAGCAAAAGTCAAGTCATCAAAAGTGACTCAGGTATGACTCCAGTATGACTTAAGTAGAACTATATATTTTTCTATATGTGTGTTTGTGTGTGTAGCGATTTGAGTGACCAATAAATTTCAAAAAATGGATTCGTACCAATTCGTCTCAGCCTGGCATTAACCATCATTGCCTGGGCTCAAGGAACCGCATCAGCAACAACCACACGCAGCCCAGACTGGAAGTCGTCAACAATCTCTCAAACCGTCACAACGAATCGTCAGAAACTCTCAAAACAAAAGGGTTGCTCAAAAAAGAGGTGCCGAGTGTCCATGTTTCGATACCGGTCAGATGGAGGCATACTCCGTCCACACATCTCACGAATCAGGAAAGACATTGCAGCAGCCACTGGAGCTGGGTTGTCGTCACTTCGGCACAATTTGTAGCAGGCCGACAGGGCTCCTTCAAAGACGTCTTTGTCCTTTAAAGTCTCTTCAATCTCGCGGAACATGTCAAAAACCTTTTCCCAATGACGCCCTGAAGCCCAAGCATTCATTCCAGCAATGTATGTTTCCTTGCCGCGCTCGCCAAAACCTCTACTCATCTCCATGACCTCCAATGCTCGTTGCCAATCCTGTTGGGCGAGAGCCAGCATTGCCTCACAGCGATCGCTGGCAGTTATCGTATCAGGGTAGGTTTGCCCTTCCTGGAGAACTTGGAGAATCTCAGGCCAAGAGCCCCACCGCGAATACACCGAGAGCATGAGGCCACCAATTCGGTTCTCCCAAAATTGTGATGGGGAGCACTGTTCCCGAAACTCTTCAATCAGGCGCAAAGCCCTGTTCCACTGTTGCGCGCTCACCAAATTTGTGGCGGTGTTTCGGTACAGCTCACCTTTCTCTTCGAAAGGTGTTTCATCGACAGATTGCGCATGCAATGCCAGGACCTGCCGCCAGTCCCCACGCTCACCTGCCACCTGCAGCATCGCTGGGCGATCCTCGGGGAATATCTCGAAAAGCTCTTGCAATGCTGCAGGGCATTGGACCACCTTCGAGGCACCATGGCACCCATAGAGACGCTTCAGATGGCTAGGGACACTTTGGCCCCACATCCTCCCGCCCTACTACTCTGCTTCAAATGTTTCAAGCATGAGAACACATCGAGAAGAGAGCTAGAGGCGGGGAGCAACAAAAAATGACATGTATATATATATATATATAACTATATTGTTCAAGGGCTGTAGCTCTTGTACACAAGCACACATTTTAGTGTTTGCGCATGGCATTTGCTGCACCTATCTGTCCTCCGCCGTCCTGCTTGGCGCTGTGAAGTGGGAGTTCAAGACCCGCCCAACTATATATGTTTTGCATCTCTTGAAAGCACTGCGGAACAGACTTACGGGCTTCCAACGAGAAAATCCCAACATCAATGGCTTGCTGAACACAATTGGCCGGTCTCTGAGGAGGACACCAATTCTGACACACTTCTTCTCATCTAAGTCCAACAGAAAGTGTTTGGGCCTGAACAAGTAGGCCCGCAATTCCGCACGGCAGGCAACAAACTCAGCCAGCATTGAGTTAGAGCCGGGCCCTCTTGCAGCAGCAGAACCTAAGCTCTTCTAATGCCAACAAACCTCCATGGAAACACGGAAGCACTCCACTTGGCTGAGCCAAAAGCATCCCTGCCCTTCGCCTGTGATGGTAAAGCCCACTTTGGTCACAGTTTCTGCCATTACCTGAGCCGCATCTCGCTGCAAGCGGTGCGGCATGTGCACACACTCCCTGGAAACACAAGTAAGTAGCTGCAGGCACAACCCAGAGGCCGAGTTTACACTAGATCTGACATTGAAAGACATCTAGAATCTAAGCAAATGATGCAAATTGCAAATGACATCAAATGACATTGTTGTGTTCTCTAATGTCAACTAACATGACCAACCCTCAAACAATTACAGTATAAATTGCCCAAAAATTAAAGAATGTGAAACTGTCATAAAAAGATGCGTGTCCTCTTTTGATATCACGTCTGTTACTATGTCTGAAGTCGGAAATTAAAGTGTTGTTAGGTGTCCAATCTTTTTGCTACAAAATGCTGATTTTGGCTCATTGTTTGTTTGGCTGCCGTGGGGAACACGACGACATTGATGCCCCGAAGAGCTTGGCACAATGCAGCTAGAAAGAAAATGAAACAAATACAAGGGATTGCTGAACCAGCTCTAAGTTCTAAGGCCCTCTCCTCGTCCTGAGCCGGCGCTGGCTCAGGAACTGTGCCAAAACACTGCGGTCGATCAAAGCAGCTGTCCTTCATGTCAAGTTGGATTCTGTCATGTTGACATGATCTGTCAGGAGTCGTGTACGTGCTGCCAGCCATCTTTCTCAAAGCCTCCGAATGTCTCTCCGACCTTTGAGACAATCCTCACGCGCTCGACATGGCACATCCCTTGTGGATCTACCACGGCTAGGTGAGCACCTGGCTCCAGGCCACATCCCAAGCCACCTCTGAGATTGCCAGCTCCTTACGCCTTACGCTTCGTAGAAAGTTGCTACGCCACTACGTTGTGTTGAATCCGTAGGCTCGACATGCTTGCATGGTTGATTTGAGCATGGCAAATGGAAATTCTTAGAAAGTGTTGGGTGCATTTAGTGCCGAAGTACTGAGGTACACAGCCTAGGCAATTGATCTGCAGCTGTGGTTTCACAGGCTGCCTGCCTGGCCTCCCTAAACAACAGGCATGCCTTGGCGCCGCCAGCCCTGCCCCTGCGAACAGCGGCCAGGGATCAGCTCCAGGTCACTTACACCGAGATGACGATACTCCGGGTAGGATGTAAGGAGTTGCTGTCGGCCGCAACTCCGGCGACGCCACGTTGATGGACGTCTTGCCCTGTTCCAGCCTGACGTCAGGCCGCAGGAAGCTGAAGACTAGACACGGTTCAGCGGGCCTGTGACATCGTGAGAGGCTTCCAGATCTCTCCGATTCGTGAACCGCAGGTGGGGAATTTTGAGCAGAAGGTGGTCCAGAAACATCTCCAGACCTTTGGCTGATACTTTGGTGTCAACTGTGCAAGGGTCCATCACAACGCATTTCAACTCGCAACTACTGTCAGGGTAGGCCACACCAGCTCTATGCACTGACGCAGGTAATCGAAGTTTGTTAACAAATTTGTCTCGATAGATGAAAATCAAACATTGATCATCTCGCCAAGTTGCTCCTTCTTCTTTCGTGCTTCCCAAGCTTCAGTATTGGTCTGAAGATGAGTCAGCAGCACATCCTGGCACATGATGAGTCAGGTCTGCGAAAGGTGGAACGGCCAGGTATGCCAAATGGTCAAACGGCACAATTCGGTGCACCTTAACACGATGCTGCAGCTCAGCCATGAGAGTGAAAGTTGGCTGCACGATGATAGTGAAGAAACCCACCTGCCCACTCGGAACTGACCGGCTTTTCACCACATGCAAAAACTGCATTGCTGGGGAGAAGGTATGTGGAAAGGTCTGAGCGCGCCCCATTCTACAGTGCTAATTGGCACCTGCGAGCTTGCAAAACGCACAGTTTCTCGGTCGCAAAGTGGTGAAATTGGCAGTCCCAGGTGCTTCTCCTGAAAACTGATCCACGGGTCCAAGCCATGTCCGCTTTTAGAATCCATCTTTCGGGACAAAGGCCATGCATGGCACTCTTACCCATTACAATGCCACAAATCAGCTGAAATGTGCCGGTCTCCCAGCAATCAGCTGACATGCAACCGTCCTCGTCCCCCTGCAGAAAGAACTCCTGTCGCAGCAAATCCTTGGCGTCAAGGTGGGAGGACTATTTTTCACATGCGATGCTCAGCTGGACGGCTGCGAACCAACGACAAATCCTTCAAAAGCTTGCTAAATCTGAAGAGGATCTGACCACTTGTCAGACAAAGAAAAGACTTTCGCAGGGTTTGAAATATCCATAGCATGCAGCGCCATCACACGCAATGCCGACCTTAATTACAGAAAAGTGACCGCAATAGGACTCATTCCACACACCGAGCCGTTGGTCCTATTGGGAATCGAGCCACATAGCCTTTGGCTCGTGATGCCATTCTGTTGGATCACTTCCAAGCTTCTCCACTAGTGTCTTGAAGTCCGCCTTAGGCACTTTGGAAGGCGCAAGTCCACCGTGTGTCTGGCTTACTTTTTGGATGCAGCCATGCATAGCCGTGCATTCAAGCAGCTACATTGCCGAAGTGGGATGACATGTCAGTACCCAGAACCACCTGGCGGTGAAAGCCTTTGAGAACAATACAGCAAGACTGGAGCACATCTGTGCATTTTGCATCTTCCTGTCCAGCCTCGACCATCTCTTTGCGCAATCGATTCCGATGCTCAATTTTGAACCCTTCCTTGCAGTGAACTGGCCGGTCAGCCAAACTCACCAAAGCTGCCCCAAAAGAACTGCATGCATGGGTGCCATCCAAGCGGCCAATATATTGGTTGACAGGTCCTTCGGGTACAGTACTGTACGAGATGTTTTGAAAGGCAAGAAGCAAAATCTGCCAAAGTAGAATCCATTGGGCCCATTTTCGTTGGCATCTTTCATACGACTAGGGGGACCACGCTATGCATCAACTTGAAAGTCTTGGAGATATGCATGTTCTCGAGAACGCTGATATCCTTGGTCAACCGGGCTCAGGTATTCTGTGGTGTGTGTGGGCAAGGGCTGCATGAAGAGTTTGGCTACCAAGCGGCATTGTAAGTCAAAGCGATATCATCGCAAACATTTACATGAAAAGAGTTTGTTCTCCCATCATGACCTCGGAAGTGCTGTTTGCTTGCCCCACACACCAACTGGTCACCAGGCGGGAACGCTGAGGCATCCGCCCATGTCATGAACAATCGCACCCAGTAGAATGGCAAGAATGCTGAGCTGGTCGAAGTACGCTGCAAACCCGAACTGCTTCAGCAAAGCGTGGACACATTGTGTCACCTTGCATGCAACAATGCAAGCGTTTCCCGCCTGCTAACTTCTAAGTTTGGAAGCGTTATACAAACTCACTGCCAAAACACGTCAGCTGCGTGCACATTGTTGTGATAAAGAACTTTATCCTGTCGAGAATACATGTCCTGGAGCGGGTCACACAGCTGCCTCCTGTAATCTGCCGATCTGCAAGCAGGGAACAGTCCTCCACAGCCTCCAGGAACCGGCTTGTCCTTTCCATCTCTAGAAATACATCAGATGACCTTAGATGGTTTTCAACTGGTTTCTCTCAACTGTGCAAACACTTCAGTCTAGTTGGAAAAAACATCAGTAGATTCCAGTTTCATATTGTACTCTTTTTTGCACCTTTGCTTGATTGTGCCAACGCCATTCCTTTCACCATCTCTTTGGGCCAGGTACTGTTCTCCAAGGAATCCGTCTAAAGCTTTCCACCCAGCAAAGTGCAAAGGGTTGCCCTTCGTCGCTTCAGCGAGCTCAAAGCCTTGGTCGAATTGAAGTGTTTGAACAAAATTTGCGTTTTCTAAGAATGGCACAGGGGGGGAGTCTACGCACACCCTATCACCCTGTTCATCACTGCTACACTTGGTCTGGACTAAATCCATGAATGACTCGACTGCAAACTCTGACATACTGCCGCCCTTCCACGTTTCCGGAACAAGTGCAACCAAGCCGCTGTCAAAATCCCACTGGTCCTCAGATCCAACTACAGTAAACTGTGTCTCTTGGAAGCAGACTTTTCCAGCTTTCCCACAGCTGCTTGATTTGCATTGTGTCCTTCTTATATGCTCCTTTCAAGCGGCAAACTCATCCAGCATGCGCGCATCCAGAGACTCCCATGAGGGTGGCGGTCGAGAAAAAGCTACTGATGGAGTCCGTGACCGGCTCCCAGGAGTCCCAGGACATGATGAACTAGTGTTCACCTGCGACACAATTCAGTGCCCAATTGCATCAAGGAAGCGGCAAATCCCGAGCCGGACCTGCTTTGCATAGATCATCAAGTAATCCTCGGTTCCGCCATTCAACCCCCAACCAAGTGAGAACACCGACAATAAACACTTTGACATCAAAGCTGAAAGCACTGCAAAATGGATCACAAGCCATCCAACTTCAACCCTTGTGTACCCATCATAAAGCCAGGCAGGTCGCATAGCCACCTTCGGGGCACAAGCAAGAGGTACCACTTCGGCTGAGATCTTTCAACGGTTCTCTCTGTGGATATCTTTCAAGCTCTCTGCCTGTCTCTGTCTCTGTCTCTGTCTCTGTCTCTGTCTGTCTGTCTGTCTGTCTGTCTCCCTCTCTCTCTCTCCCTCCCTCCCTCTCGCTCTATGACTCTGGATCTCTTGATGGCATCTGCTGACTTTGTCTAGCCATCTCTTGCGGCGCAGCGGCCTGGTGTGACATCTCCTAAGACGACAGCGACAGCTACAAAACCGAAAATTCAGAAAGCGCTGGTGTGGTTCTTCCAACTCAAACCGCATTCATGCCTATGGTGGGAACAAACGAGGCCAATCATTCGACTAGCACATCGATACAAAGCATATCGAAGACTGTGTCTCTCAGTGCAGATCGAGTCTCCAGTATTACGCTGAAGAAGCATACACGGCATTGCCAGTGTTTCCAGGCTTGCACCCAAGCAATCCTTCAGGAAAAGCATCTCTTCCTTAAAACACTGCACAGCATTACAAAATGAAAGAATGAGAGCACCTTCTCTTATATGTCTGACAAACATGTGCACAAAATGAAACCCTAGCAGTCAAAGGCATACAAAGGCCACGTGGTCGCTACTTCCGCTACTTACTTACACTGCTTGCTGCAAGCATGCTTGCAAGCCTGTTTGCCAAGGACAACCCTAAAGCCTTCTGGGTTTTGCCAAGGTGCTACCTGAACTTCAAGCTCAGGTCTTTCCACAAGTCTATCCAGGATGCCTTTCGCAACATCCATCAGGGTTGCCGTAGGACCAGCCTTGGTTTGTTTCCAGGCCTAGTCTTGCCACTGCCAAATAATGGGTTGGAAGCTGCTGCCGGGAAGCCAGTGCCAACATTTCATTGACGCCTTCGGTATCAGGAATTGTAGGTGGTTGCCCCACAGAAACGCTCCGCATAACCTGCAAGTGTGGCCTTGGCAAACAGACTGCTTCCGGAAACCAGCTGCTGCCAACGTGTATGGGCTACCTCCTCAACACTTCAATTGAAGCCTCAAGCATTCACAACTTGGACAACCAAGCTGCTGTAAACTGGGCTCTATCTGTCAAAAGCAAACAGCTTAAGCATTGTGACCAAGCTAGCTAAGGTGAACTGACATGAGATCACCGTTAGCAGTGTGGGGGGGAATCAACTGAGATGAGACAAAATGAAACGATGATGGGATAGCTTTCGCATCTGCGACTGCAGATAAAGACTAATTACATACGTTGTAATTATGGAGTGGACTCGGTTTCCTTCAGCTGCAACTCAGACGACCTTGTTCACTCCGAGGCGCTTCACAAGCTTGTTCATGGGAGCTGGCTCTGTGTGGAATCTCTGTATGGGCCGCCGCATTGCGCCCGTGGCCCTGCCCCTTCTTGGGGCGGCCGTGCAACAGCAAACACTCGGACGTTGTAACAAAAGGCCCGCAAAAGGTATATCTACGCTCTTCCCAGGCTGGCCGCTAGCGGCCTTAATCAATTGAATAACACCGTGAACCAATAAAAGACCGACAGGAGTAAGAGTAAGAGAGTCTACGGAAGTTTTTTCTTTCAAAACGCATGCCCACGCAACAGTCTCACTCAAACTCTGGTGTCCCAACTATGTCTGTCATTCAATGTCCAAGCTGATCCTGAAGGCTGGCCACATCGACGCGGCAATGTTCCTTCCGTATGGCTCAATCCCAATTTTGGTTCGCACAATCCTGGGACATGTTTCTCCCTGTGTGACCACATGCGCATAGTCTTTCAAAAGTGTGCATGTGTTCATGCTGTCAATGCTTTCCTTTTCTGCACTTGTCCACTCGGCTGATTCTCGATTGGCAGCTCACTTCAAAGCTGCAGGCCTGGGATCTAGCCCAAGGAGCACCCATCATGGTGCGCTGGCGCCAAATAGTCGGACACCAGGCTCAAAAATGAAAATTGGTTGCCCCATGGCATTGACTGCTGTCCAGCGAATTCAATCTACCATGCAATCTCAAAAGTAGAAGCACCGCTTGCCCTTTGGCAGCTTGATTGATGCTTCAGATCAGTCGGACGGGTGTCGGCAAACCTCAGAATTGCAAACGCATGATCAAGCTGAACTGCCAAATGTTCAACAGCCTGATGTCCAAACCCTACTCCAAACATTGATGAGCCCTTGCACGCCTGACCCTATATAAGCAAGGCAACTCTCCACCGCGAAGTCCTAAGATGACAAGCATTCAAAGCAAGCTCGCAACACCGCAAGGAAGAATTGTGCGGAAATCGAAGTAGAGGGGACCAGGGAGAGGAAGAAACATGTATATAACGACACCATCATGAAAAAAAATGAAAACCCAACTTGCAGGTGAAGCTCGTAGAACTTGACCGTCTCACCGCAAAGGTCTGGCTCATCCTTGTGGCAAGGACCCTTGCCATCACCACCAACTCCATCCATCCACAGCATGTCTGGTGCACTCCAGTAGCTAACTACTGGCGTCATACCATGTGTTAATGCATCGGTCAATTCCCGGGCACTTGATTGACCTCCAAAGTGATAGGACTGAGTGTCCACCGAGGCCTCTAGGGTGCACCCATTCTGCGACACTCGTGTGACCATTGCCCGCAAGAGCATTTGACCTCGTCGACGATATGCAGGAAAGCTCACTTCCACTTGGAAAGGTTTTGTGGTGTCAATGCAACTGGCACCTGGACCGTACTCTTCCTTGGTCCAATCACGGCTGTTGCTCCATCCAGATCCACCCCCACCATAGCCAAGTCCTTCTCCTGAGCCATCTTGTGCCAAGTGGAGAACTGAGTGGAAGGCATGCTTGTTGGCCTCCTGCAAGTCAATCTCCGTGCATCGCACACCGCAAACGCTATTGGCATCGCAGTAGTAGTCCTTGCATCCTGAGACTTCGGTGTTTTGAGCAAGGGAGACCAAATAGAAAGCGGCATTGCAGCCACACCCAGCCGTGGCGAGATCTGTGGTCCATCGAATGCGCTTGCCCAGGAGACGGAGTTTGGTGTAGCGATTGTTGGAGTAACTGCCAGCTCTGCATTTGTCTGAAAAGTAGGTTCTTCCTTTCATGTACACATGAATGACTCCATTGCCATCCACATCAACCTCCCCAGCTGGGTCGTACGGTTTGTTCCAATAGGCATTTGTCATGTGGATAGGTCCTTGGCTGGAGGCACGGCTACCAAAATGAAAGGCTACCTGCGGCTACCTGGGACAAGTGATGACAATTCCCTCTGTCCTGTCATCCTGTGGAAAGTAAAGTTAGCATGGCATCACAACTCCAAGGAACTATTGCGTCCGCCAAGGCTGATGGAGCCCGGGCAAGAAGCTCCTTCCACCCCTGCATGCACAACCGACTACTTTGCCATCTCTTCAATGTATATACTCCCGAACAACTCTGTTGTCATCTCCTCCCTGGTCAGTGATCCATCTTCCATGTTTCAATGTGTGATCCATGGCCTGGCGTTGAAGCATTCATTGAAGCAGCCAGCGCGGCATCCAGAAGCACTGCCCAAATGATGAGCATTCCTGCATCGAAGCAGGTCGCAAAGTGGGTGCTGGGAAATTGGTGGTCTACCCCAGATTCAAGCCCTTCACACATCATGATTCAAGCTTCCCTGAACAGGTGAGCCAAGCTAAATGCTGCAAGGGCGCTCTCTGCAATCATCGGCAGCCTAGGTTATGCCGTGCAATTTGGGCCGAAAATGGCTGCACTCGAAATGGGCACTGGCTGTCATGCGTGAGATGCACAGAAACACAACAAAGGATTCTCAAGTGCAGCGAGCACATATGTCATTGAGACTTTTGGATGCGCGCACCAAGCCCATCGCTCAGCCAAGCCCCGGAAGCCTCCCCTGCCGCATAGAATGCGCACAAAAACAGCAATCCATGAAACAAAAACATGCCAGGCATGCCTCCAGCCGTGGTGTGGACATATCCTTTTTGCAAGTGTTCAGTCAGGTTGCTTGGTCCACTTGTGCAGTGCGGAGATGCTGCATATATCATATATGTACAAAGTGCAACCAAGCATCGTAGTAGTCAGCATGTCCAGGCTGAGACACTGACAATGGAGGAAGCCCTTGGCGTGTCTTGGGCACAATGCACCCAAGCCGGTCAACTACAGTAGCGACTCCTGGCTGCAACTGGCTTTGAGCTACGGACTTTGACGCCTAGAGAGCGGGCCAGCCTCGCCATGGCCAGCAGCAGCCCAAAAACAAGAAGTGAAATCTCGTGCAGATCTGATGCAGGTGGAAACCAGTTTTGAAGCTGCCAAACCATGGAGATCTTTGCTCACTTCGACTGGTCCAACTTCAAAAAACGCGTTGAGCTCTCCTCAAGACTGGCCCGAATCACCTGGACCGCCGTAGATTTTCCAAGCACGAAATCTGCACGCGCTTTGTGAGCATCATGCCCGACAATTCACTTCAATGCACTTCAGTCTACTTGCCCAGCGCCAACGATGGTTGGTTCGAGCTCACTTCGCTCGAAAGACTTGTATGCGCGGGGGCCATGGGGGGCCCAGCTGGCCATTTTCACTGGCCTCCAAGGCTAGACCGCGCAGGTCTGGCAAGAAAGCTGCTGCAAAGAAGAACGAACTCAAGTTGATGGCGCCAAACATCGCAAACGTAGCCACTGCATTTGCAAAAAGCAAACTCTCAAAGACTTGAAAAATAACAATGTCAATTATGCTGGCTACAGCTTGGCACTGCCCCAAAAATTTTGACCGGACGGCGCTGGGAAGCAACTCTGAAATGACCAAGAATTGAACACCACCATAGCCTGCAGTCCAGGCGAATATTCTGAGAATGACACATGCGGCAGGGAGCTGCTCTGGAACTCGGCTTGGGAATGCAAGATGAATGGCAAGAATGGAATCACAAAGCGTGCACAGCATGCTGCCGCCCATTACAAGCCTTCTTCTACCCACCCTCTCAGAATCAGATGCCGACATAGCAAGCAAAGCACCCGCAAGTTTCATCCATCCTACTGAAGGTAAAATGCTTGCAGGATCTTCCACACTGCAAACCTTCAACAAGTCGTAGGCGTATGCTTGCACTGCTAAGCTTCCCACTGATGCAGTGAAGCTTGCCAGCCCCAACGAGATCAAAAAGGGCTTCCGAAACTGTGCCCAAGCATGCATCTGACGTCTGCAATGCGATTCCCCGGCACAATAATCAATATGTTCGCCTTTGCACGCAAGGCTCCTCAATTCAAGAGTCTCTGAATGCAATCCCAGGGATTGGATTGATTTGTCCAGAGCATCAACGTCTCCCTGCAATGCATACCATCGTGGGCTCTCTGGCAAGGCTAGCACAAAAATCAGTTGAAGACCAGCAGGCACTGCTGCAATTGCAACGACACTTTGCCACTGCCATGCCGCATCAGTGTTGTCGCGGGCGGGTATGTGCAAACCAAGCAAGCATCCGACGCAGACCGCAACTTCGTTCAAGCATATGAAGAGGCCTCTATTTCTCCGCGGAGCAATTTCACAAAGGTATGTTGGGGTTACTACAAAAGCCAACCCCATGCCCATTCCAACGAGGAACCGGGCTGCGAAAAAACCAGGAGTTGACCGTGTGCTGGACTGCAGAGCAACAGACACCACTATGAGCACATCCGCAGAAAAGATCGCAGCACGTCGACCGAATCTGTCAGCAAGGCCTGTGCAGCACAATCTGGACATCAATGCACCAATTCCAACGATCGATAGGACGGCCTCCTCACAGAAGCACTGTACATGAACCCCCCTACACTTAAGGACTCCATCATAGAAGCTAACATGTAAACAACTAACAATGGTACTTAAGCAATGGCCATGACAATCAGCTTTTCAATGGCTTCGTAATTACATTTGTCCCCGCAAACACTAGGACTAGGACAATGTGACCACCAGGTCCTTGAGAAAGCATGTCGATATTTCAGCATCGTTGTGGCAAAGGGCAAGGTCTCTGTCCATGAAGTCCAAGATGCCTGTAGTTATACAAATGTCGTACCCGTTGACCAGCCCACTGAGCACATTGAAAAGCACGCACCCCAGCCGGACAACCATCCTCAGGTGAAAAGCTGTCTCCATTATGGAGGTTTTGTGCTGGTTGCATAATCTGGCATGCATACACACTTGCACATGGTTTGGCTTGTCAAAGCTTCGTGTCACATCCGACGCCGAGGGTTTAGCTCCAAGGCACTGTTTTGCGCTGAGAGCATCATCGGCGGGTGAACAAGATAGCTCACCCATTCCGGCAGAAAGACACGGCCCATCACTCGGACAAAGGAATGCTGAATGACGTGGTTTGCTGCTTTGGGTGTTTTCTCAGCTCCTTAAGTTTGACCAA